AAAAAAAAAAAAAGTATGGCTGTACAAGTCATGGTTTGTTTTTTCTTGGTTTTTGTGGATTTCTTTGCCCATTTTTGCTTTGTGAAAGCACATTTTGAGCACTGTCCTGGTTAAAATAAAAAATGTTTTTTGGCAGTCTGACTTTTACTCCTGCAAAACTTTAGAACACTGGTTCTCAACCGTTTTAGACTCAAGGCATCTTGTCATACTTGAAGCACTCCTTTTATAACTTTTTTGAATAGAGTGGTGCCCGATTTCAAAAACTAATTGATTTATTACATGGCTTATTTACTTGCGGTAGGGGTGAGGGAGCAGCTAGGCAGGGAGAGCCTGAGCCTGCCTTTATCTCAGGGGTGGGCAAAATGCGGCCCAGGGGCCAGATGCGGCCTGCCAGGCCATTCTATCCAACCTATAGGGCCCCTAAAAATGTAGAAAATTAATATTTATCTGTCCTGGGCTGCCTGTCATGCGGCCCTTGTTGGCATGCCAAAACTCAGTAAGCAGCCCTCTGCTGAAAATAATTGCCTGCCCCTGCTTTATCTGCTTATCTCCTCACACCTGAAGCTTGAGCCTGCTTAACTGCTTAGCTCATCACACCTCACTTATCCCTGGCCCCCTGGTTGGGAATCACTGCTTTAGAATAGTTTTTGAAAGAAGAATAACTAGGGATATGGAAGAAATGGAAAGTGGAATATAATGCGACATGACATTTTCCAAAGGTAGAACATGCCAGATAATATGCTTCTCTAAACAAGAGAAATTAAGTAGATCCAACTTGTCTCTAAGTATAGCATTTGATACAGTACTTCATGGAAAATTTAGTTAAACTGGAAATGATGCAGATAAGTGGGGGAATTGTAAGGTGGGTAAAGAAATGGCTTAAGAGGACAGAGCATGCATTTTGAGACTGATCATCTTTAGTCACCAACTGGCACAAAATAGGATTGTGCTAATGAAATTTGCTGCAGATGTAAAGTATGAAAGCATCATCTATATAGAGAAGAAATGTGTATGCTAGAGGAAAAATTAGATGACCTCAAAGACTGGAGTAATGGAAATGACCATATATGAACAATATAAAATTAAAGGTCATGTATTTGAGGAGTAATAATTTCTGGTGGAAGTTTGGAGTTCATTATTTAGGGACCAGTGGAGGAAGATAAAAACTTTAGCTTGCTTTTCCTTTAATTAATTAATATACTCATATGTAACTGGGAAAGGAGTAAATGCATTCCTAAAATGCATCAGGTGAGGTATTTTTAGGTGAGATGAGAAAGTACTGCATTTTTTTTAATATAAGATGATCCTGCATATAAGACAGTTCCCCAATATTTAAGACTGTATTTGGAAAATGTCTAAGTTTGCTTTGAATTTGTCCCCCTCCCACAGCCACAGGAGGCATAGAAAATAAATCTCAAGGGTCAGGTAGTCCCCTTGCCTTCTGGCCCTTCCTCCCTAAATTCTTTCCCCTGCACCACCTTTACCGTCAGACCCTGCTGTCCCCATGCATATGGAATTGAGGAGCAAATATGAAAAAAAAACACTGACCTTGAAATTGCTCAGAGAGGTGGTGGGATCTTCATCCTGGGAGGTTTTAAAGACCTATCTAGACGAAACCTTGGGCGGGAAGATATAGTTGGGGACAGCCCTGCTTTCAGCAGGGGGTTGGATTTGCTTTGAGCAGGGAGTTAGATTAGATGACCTCCTGAGGTCCTTTCCAAACCTATTTTTCTATGATTTATCATAAAGTTCATTGGGTTGGACCTTGGCAGAGTCGATATCATTTTGAGCCATGGTGACCCCACAGGTCAGCACTGCTCCAGATACCCTCCTGCACCCCTCATGGCTGGGACCAGGTGTTCTCATCAGGAGTCCTGGGATCCTCTCAAAACTTATATCCAGATGAGGCATAGGGTGACCTGGTCTGGCTCCACTTCATGCAGTGCAGGGCCACACTACTTGTATACAACAGGGTGAGAGAGGGGGTGACAGAGGGATTCTGCATGAACAACAGTTTGGGGCTCCATTTCGTGATATTTGCCAGACATTTAAGGTTGCTAAAGAAAGAGGAATCAATGGCAATGAGAGAGAAAGGTACAACTCAGCTGTGGGAGTGAAGTTGAAATGTATTCAATGTAGTGGCTCCCCATGACTTGGAAAAAGTCACTGCTGAGGGAGGGGCTGTGCGCAATGGGCACTACTCATCTGAATAAGCTGTCTGTGGTAGGTTCCCATCCCTGCCCAAACTCCTCCCTAGCTTGCTCCTGCGGCCATATAGCTGAGTGCAAGCAAAGCTCGGGGCATCTGAACCCCAAGCCTCTGGGCTTGGGCCTGCATGTAGGATGTCTGCCAAAAGATTTGGAACTATCTGAAGCCCCAGGCAGGGGTGGAGGATGCTTGCTGGTAGTAGGGCCACATATGGTTCTTGAATGATTCACATGGATTTGGAATTGATTTGGCAGATTTGACTGGGGACGCTTCTTTTTCCTTTATATATTAAAAAACAAACAAACAACAACAACAAAAAAACCCAAAAAAATTCCCATCCATATGTTTGCCCAATATGGGCCATGTACTTTATAGATATGCTCAGTGCTGGCTGTATTTAATCAGCTTCATAGTTGGTTCCCATTACTGTGCACCTGCTGCTTCTGGCAGCAGTTTAATGATAATATATTTAATGCCAATGCGGGGAGGGGGAGAACCCTTGTGTTGTATTCAAGTAAATATGGCATGAGTGTTTATAGCTTTGAGAGCTCATCTAGGTACTGTACAGGTCTGGTTGTCAGAATTTGAAGAAGGATCAATTCAAATTGGAGCATGTATAAAGAACTCTACTAGGAGGATCAAGGGACTGAAGAAATTTTATTTTATGGGAGTAGAGGCCGAGCAGGCTGCAAACAGCTGTACTGTCCCCAGAGCAGGGGCAGCGCTTGGGGGAGGGGAGGCCGCTACAGCCACACCAAAATTTGCCTCAACTTCGGTGCCTGCCCTGTGTGGCAGGAGTGGGACCTGCCTCTTTCAGTGGTGGGGGCAGGGAGGGAGGGAGGGATGACTGGACTTCACCAGGCCAGGAGGCTCCACTCCTCCCAACTCCCCTGCTGCAGCCTGCAAAGGCGCACAGTGCCAGCACCTTCCTAGGGCTGGGGGGCTGGGCGACTCCACCCCTTCCAGCACAGCCACTGGTGCCACCACCTACGCCACGCAGACGAGCTCAACCCACCCACTCTGAGCCTAGCTCCTCCACTGGGAAAAGGCTGGTGCAGCCTTTCCTGGCCCTAACCAGCCCTTGGAAGAGGCTGGCACCATGTTCCTTTGCAGGCTTAGCTGTGTGGGGCAGGTGGCAACAGGGGCATTGGGATGGGTGGAGCCTCCCGGCCTGGCAAAGCCCAGGGCCCGCCACCCCACTGGGAAGAGGTTGGCGCTGTGCGCGTGTCTTGGCCAGTATCAGGTTAGTGCCTTGGTGTGCACATGCACCTTATAGCAGATTGTGGGGGAGAGGCCACAGTTGTGCTGCCTCAGGCCCCTTACCCACAGTCTGCTCTGAAGCGCGCGTCCAGCTGCTGCCAGTATGGTGCATGTGTGCTGTAGAGCAGACAGCGGGGTTGGGCCCTGAGGCTTCTCCCCTGCCCTTCGCATGCTGAGCAAAATGGCCTCGCACGCCCTGTTGTGGCACATGTGCTGGGTTGCCCATCCCTGGTCTAAGAATTGGAACAAAGTCACTTCTGGAGATCTAAAATTTCTTCTCCTTGGGGTCATTTCAGAAAGACAAATACTTTGGGCCCTATCTGACATTCTATCTTCTGTACAGTTTAAAAAAATAGTGAATTCTTTTGTCCAGGTCTGTAGTCACAGCAAAATAATTACCACTGGTTCTACAGCATTGTAGCTACAAAAATAATAGTCTGTCTTTTAAATAACACTTAAATGACCTGTAAGTTTGTTGCAGTGGAAGCAAAATGATTATGATCTATCATAGGAGTGAAGTTTCTCTTTTAAAAACTCTCAGTATATTTTTAACTGTTGGTTTACATGCACTGTGGTGCCTGGGGTGCATTTCTGGTCCTCAACTTAAGTGAGGCAAGAATTCTAGCTCTGTTTTCTTTTCTTTCCCGTAGGCACACCACTCTTAAATTTTTCTAGCCTACTAGGTAGTAATAGGTTTTGTTTCCTTTTCTGCTGCCATCTTAAATGAATAGGTTGTAGCATGCAAATGACTTGGTAATGCAGACCTAAATGGATAATGCAGTATTTTGAGCATAAGATGTTGTCATAGCTAGTGTTAACTTTCTTAACTTAACCAGTCATATAATGAATATACAAAACAACCATCCTTTGCTATAAATTCAGAAGCCAGACTCTTGACTTCTGCACCAACAGTAGAATCAGTAGCTGTTGGCAATCTGTGGCTCAAAAAATACTGAGCTACACAATGAAATTGTTAACTTGCCCGCTCTATTGCTGATGAGACAAAATTAAGGAGAAGGCAGGAAATGCACCTGCCATATTGTTGAAAAAATGTTTTTAATAGTTTAATAATATAGGGACTAGAATAGTGCTTAATGTAAAAACAGTTCTACAACAAACTAAAGCAATCGTTAATCGATTAGTTTGACTTTTAAAACACAGAAATATGTTTTAAAGTGCCATGTGAATTAAGACTTACTTCAAAACATGGAGGTTTTGATTTATTATCATTAAACCTGACTTTTTTAAAGAGAAGAAACGGGTATAATACAACTGTGCTTTCTGATTTTTGTAAGGAGACACTTAGTGTTAATGGATTCACACCAGCATCCTTTAAAAATAATCCTATTATGCTCACTCACAGAGAGTATATTTTCCTGGATCCTGATTATAAGTGATGACTACAAAGAAGTTAAAATAATCAAACCTTTTCTTCTTGTTTGTATTATTTAGTCATATTCTTTTATCTAACTAATAGTTTTAACATAGTAGAGCAGGTTTTTTAAAGCTTGTCTTCTTTTTTTCTCTTACAGATTTACTGGGAAAAGAAAAAAATAAAAGGCAGTCTTCTAAACTGGAATACAGTTCAAAATCCATAGTAGAAAAAGCCCGTATCATTAAAAGGAAAAGGAAGACTCAAGGAAATAGGAGAACTGGAATATAATGCCAGAGAAGAATTTTCTATTTTTATAATATATAAAGGCCATAGTGTTAAGAATTCACTTTCAGCACACAATTTGCAGTAGTACTTTTGCTTCGGATTTATCATAGAAGGAAAAAGTCAGATACTGTACAATTTGTTGAACACGAACTTTTGCTCCCACAAAGTTGGATCTTCACAATATTTTAACCTTAACAGAACATCATACATTTTATGGGTTTTTAACTTTCTTTTTCAGTCTCCAAAGTTAGTAAACTTTGTATGGTTATAAGTTTAGTTGACAGACTGTTTTGATAGATGGCCAACAGCTGTGAAAGGAAGTCGATACCATTATGCTGTCTGAACAGAATGCTATCACTTTAAGGAAATTCTCTTAAGTCCTCCCTTTTGCCTTGTACGCATCATATTCTTAAGTATTTTAATGTGCAAATAGCTTGGTTTATACACAGTTAAACTTGTTTTTTTAAATAATGGCCTGGGCAAAATTTTTACGGAAACCTGGAGGTGGTAACCTTGGAAAAGTGTACCAGCCTGGAAGTATGTTATCTTTGGCCCCTACCAAAGGTTTATTAAATGAACCAGGACAAAACAGTTGCTTCCTTAACAGTGCTGTACAGGTAAGGAAATGCTGTCATTATTCTTTTAAATTTGATTTATTTAAATAAGTCTGTGAACAGAAACTTGGGTTGTTTTCACGATATAGAATGTGTCTATTTGGAAAAGTTACCACTTAACATTTTTTTTACTGTGGAAATGTAGAAAAAATGTCATTGAATGGTGTTTATTGTGCTTCTGGTTTTCTTAAACTGCTTATAATGATGCTAGTAGCATTCAGTGAAATTAAAACATCATCTGAAAGAATACATCCATTTCCTGAACCAAGTAGTGCATATTTTAGAAAACCTTGATATTTATCAATCTTTAATAGGTATTTGTCTTTGAGGAATAAATTAGAACTGCTAAAACTTGTTTCATTAAAGCTAGGTTAAAGAGGACTGAACAAATGGGAAAAGTACAGTACTGGTATTTTAAAAGTTGTTAATCTGGACTACATTGATCAGATGTATAGAATAGATTTCATTTAAAAATTTAGGAAACGATGTCACTTAAATGTAAGGAATGCTGTTTTATTTGTGAATCTCTCTTGAATATTGTTCAAATCTGGTAGCAGCTACTTCCAGTAAATGTCTGAACTGAATTTTAAAACTCTTATGGCACATAGTAATATACGTAGTCTTGGTAATTTTAAAATACCCAAGACTGCTTTCTTAACTAGATCACCAAGTAGCTAATCTTGTACCAAATGGAGTTCGCTTTTGCTTAAATTACCATCTTTTGCAAGCTTAGAACACGAATCTATGGGACATACTTGTATGTTTGGATGCCTTGAACTAGTCAGAAAACCTGTGATTTTAAAAAGAAATTCAGAGACCTGATCATAAACTCAGGCATGCATGTATAGTGCAAACCCCACCTATAGAATATATGAGGGAGAAACTCCTACATATTCTTCTTAAATAACATTTGCTCAAATCTAAGAACAGGTTTCCCCCCCAATTTAACATGGTGGGAGCCCCTTGTCTTGAATTCATGTTTGAAGTGATGTGGAAGTAGGCAGCTGCTGTAGCTCTGGCACTAGCTCCAAATCTGGGTCAGGGTTACAGGTGCAGCTGTGCTACCTGCTGCCTTAGCCTCCTGTCTTCCCTCAGCTTGCAGTATCCTCATCACTCATCCCTGCTTCAGCAGGCCACACCTCTGCTTGAGCCTGGGGCAGGTAGCATGTGGTTGCTCCAGCCTTATAGCAATGGTGGTGATAGCTCAGCTTGGGCCTGGAGCTGGAGCCAGAGCTGCCACATCACTATTGCTGGTACTGGGCCAGACTGGGGCTGGATTAGATGCATCCTCCATGCCCCAGGCTGGAGTCGGGACTGAGCCTGCAGGACCTGGAGCAAGGGTAAAGGGCAGCAGGAAGGGAGGGGGAGCAGAGACTGTGTTGGGGCTAGGGATGTAAATGTTGCTTAAAAATTATCCATTTTAACCTCCTCTAATTCCATTGGTTAACTGATAACCAGGGATCCGGGTTTTCCATTCGCCATGGTAAAATGTGGTAAAACACAGATTTTTCTCACCTTTTAAGGAGGAAAAACCTGGGTTTTCTCTATATATAAGAGCATTGCTGAGAGGTAGCTCAGGTATCTGTTCATAGCGAGTAAAACTTGCCATATTATGCAGGCAGGTACATGAGTTGAATGTGGAAACCCTTTAATTTTTACAAAATCAGTGAATTATTTTCATGATCTCTAAAAGTCAAGCGTCTCATTCACACTGGAATTCCATTATGTTTATGAAGGTCTTCATTTGAAAATGCATAGGGAAGGGAAGCTTCACGTTTAAAAAAAAAAAAAAAAAAAAAAGGTAGATTTGCAGTGGTTTCTGCTTTGTACTGCTTTCCTGGATTTCATTTAATCTCCAATTAATTAATGTAATCCCTGCAAACCAGATTTGCCTGTAATTCATGGGGTAGTAGTTATTCCTTACACCTCCATTTTCATTCCAAATGAATGGAAAAATCTGCAATTCTTTTGGTAATTAACATTTTTTTTCTTTTACATACTGCATAAAGTAAAATACAGTAAATCTAATAATTGGTACATTTATCTAAAAGTTTTATATATGAAACCTTGTAAAATATAATTCATATTTTCTATTCTAACTTCTTTTCCTTTTTAGGTTTTATGGCAGCTTGACATATTCCGACGGAGTTTAAGAGGTTTAACAGGGCATGTTTGTCAAGGAGATGCCTGCATATTTTGTGCATTAAAGGTAAATACTGAATATTTCAAATGAACAGTACATCAGTTTGTATTTGGAGTTCTTGCATCTGTTTCACAGTGAGGAGAATAGTTTTCTTCAGGGTAAATTAATGCTTTCCTGAAATTAACCATTTTTACATCGGTTCAGTCTGTTATGAAAGAAACTGCTATATTAATCTTCACGTGTGAGAACAGCAGCAGATGTTTTGAAATCTGTTTGTTTTGTTCTCAAATATACATTAAAAATAAACATGCAGAAACTGTTTTTAAAGACCACTCGGAAATGGTCTTGTATTGGAAATATGAAAATTTTTACTATAAAAATGAAGTGATAATCTGTATTAGGTTTGTGTTTTTATTTTATACTGTGCTTGAATACTTTTTTAAAAAATTCTGTCTGGTAAGATCGTAAGGCAATTGTAACACAGTAGTCAGCTTTAGATGTCTTGGTCTTTTTTTCCCTTTGAAAGTAGTGAATAGTTACTGTAGTTATTGGAGAATTGAAATAGAGTTAAAAAGTGCTACGTGTTTGTACATAAGGATTGGATCTGCATATTTCAGTTGTATGAATTTCACGCTGAAAACTGCTTTGAATTCTCTTTGACATTCATTCATAAACAAATGTTCCGCTCTACGTAGATTTTTATACTTCCATCATTATCACTGGTATTTGAACCCCTGCTTTGATTGTTGGTGAAAATACCTGTAAGTGTGAACCCGAAAGCTTGCTTAATAACTATTCTCCAACCATTTGGGTTGGTCTAATAAAAGATATCAAATTCACCCAAGGAACCTTGTCTGCCTATGTCCTTAGACTAACACAGCTACAACTCAAACCCCTGCAACTAGTCATAAGTAATCTTAAGCGTGGGGAGGAAAAAAATACTTTCATGCATTTAACTTAATTTTTTTTTCCTGTTTGTGTTGCCTTGGTTAATTTAAAATCCAAGAATAAAAATGTCTTGGAAGTTCTGCTCTGATGCTATAGAATTGCTAGTAAGGTCTAGAACTTAAAATAATTAATACTATAGGGAGAACCTGGAAAAATACTGTGTAGAAACAGTCTAAGCGAGGAGATGCTTTCTGCCTGTGCTTCATCTACTCTCTCTGCAAAGACAAGACAGCTTTTTAGTAGAAAAAGCCTGAAAAAGACCTGTTTAGTGGGGCTGTGCGAAGCTTTGGTCGCTGATTCGGCCCAATTCGGTGGCCAAATCTCTGAATCGAATCAAGAGACCCTTTATTCTCTCCGAATTGAATCGGAACCCTCCGAATCGATAAGAAAAGATTTGATGATTCGGACATAGACAGAGCTTTAAATGTTTTTTCTACATACCTCAAGGTATCAGGTGGCTCGTGAATGCTGAGATGGTGGGGCGGATGGAGCATCCCCCAGGAGCGTGGCGGGGGTCCCCAGCGTGCTCAGCAGCAGACCCAGAAGTGGACCAGAAACACTTCTGGTCCGCTTCCGGGTCTGCTGGGGAGTATGTGGGGCTGGCCTCCCTGTACCCCCCTGGCTCAGTGACTGGTGCTTCCTGGTTCCAGGGGGGTACCTGGGGTCCCCCTGCAGCCGATTGCTGAGCCAAGGGGGCATCGGGTCGGGGGCGGGGACCCTGCATGCTCAGCGACTGAATTGAAAGAGGACCAGAAGTATTTCTGGTCCACTTCTGGGTTCGCCACGAAGCAAGCAGGGGGCCCTCCCACGCTCCTGTGGGATGCTCCATCCGCCCCACCATCTCAGCATTCACGAGCCATGCCTGGTACTTGGAGGTATGTAGAAAAAACATTTAAAGCTGTGTCTATGGCTGAATTGCTGATTCTCTGAATTGGCATTGAATCTTCAGATTCGGTTTCGGCCAAATTGAATTGGGACAGTGATCCGAATCAAATTACTGTCTCCGATTCGGGCCGAATCTGAATCAAATATGGCCGGTTTCGCACACCCCTACTGTTTAGTTGCTTACGTTGAGGACATATGGACTGAAACTTTATCCCGGAGAAGAATCTTGTAGCAAATACCATGTTTAGCAAAGCTCCATTACATTTCTTTGGTAGCTTCAATTTTATATGCACGCAGAGGAGCAGAGTTCTAGACTGTTAGCCACAATTTCTTTTTGTTGAGTGACCCGTAATAAATAGCACAATATATAGCACAATATATTAGCAGAGTTCAGGAGAAGATGGTGTGTTGAACAGAAATAGATGACAAGTTAAACTCAGGTGTGGTTTCCCTTTGGTTCAGAATCATTAGAATTATGTTGCAGTCTATTGTGTTGATTGTCTGAGCTTAGCATATCAGTTATGCCATACCTTGCAAAATATGCTTTGTTTCCTGGTCAGCTCTTGCTACAGAGGATAGTCCAGTGTTCAGTAAGCTACGGTGTGGATTTATAGTATGTTAGCTGCTGTACACTAGCTCATGGTGAGGACTTTCACTGTACACTCAGAGTGCTTTTGTGCAAGATTATATTTACTCTGCTTAGTGTCCATGAAGTGCCTATACAGGGAGTTATGGTATGAATTACAGTGAACTCCATACTATCTCAGGGTTGCTCAGCTTTTGGCTTGTAGTCCAGATATGATCCCCCGGGGTCAGCTCAAACCTTCCCTACCCTCCTTGTGGGGCTGGGTTGGGGCTGGGCCTCCTTCCCTGCCACAAGGTTATGGAGCTAGGATGCCCCTGATCCCAACCATGGATACTTGAGTGGGATTCCCAGTCCCATCTGGCCCATGGATGGCCTGGGCACTCCCCATCTGGCCCACTGGGCAAAAAGGTTGAGTACTACTGCCCTGTCTTATTGCACGTTACCTTTACTGTATGGACAAATGTCGAGTCATGTCTAAGTAGTTCATCCCATGGAAATTGGAGTAGCAATCTATTAGACCAGGTAGTTCCTGTAATGTATACTGCACAGACCTGTTCTAACATCTTTCCAGGATTGGATTGGGGCTTCAAGGATGTCAGTCTCTTTAGCCTCTGGCAGACATTATATTTAAGACATGATTAACTGGTTAATCATAAGTAGCAACTTATCGCACAATTAATTTCCTAAAGGGGTGGCTAAAATGTGAAATATGCCACAAAATTATTACACACATTTTGTGGAATAATTTTGTGGTTGGTTTATATCATGACTTGAATTTGAGTGTGTGGCTGGATCCCCGTCGTGCAGCCAGAGGCTGGCTGCATGGCTGAGCCCTGGGACTGACAATTGGCTTGTTATCAGTCTCAGCCTTGGGAAATGCACCTGAGCAATTTTGGTATGCATAATGGAGTCCCAGGGCTGAGACAACCAGTCAGTTGATTGTTGATCTCAGCCCCAGGACCTCATTGGTTCACTGGGCACCGAGCTTTCTATTTGTCAGTGCAGGTAGAGCTCAGGATCATGTTCCCAGGCTTTCCCTGCAGTGGTAGTGGTGTAACTGGACTTTGATCCTCAATTCCAAAATCGTACATCCTGCCTTGCACATGTGGCATGTGTGAGATTATTGAGATTTGGAAACTGATCCTATCACATCACTCAGTGAATGTGAGTCAGGGACTTTTCTGTCTGTATATAGTGCGTGTTATACAAATATACGCTCTCAATTGGGCACTTGTGCCATGTTACTAGATGAGTCTGGGTTTTCTCTGCTTTACATTTGGAAACTGAAGTATGATATATTTACCTCAAAATGTGAGTTCTTAGATCTACTGGAATTACTGCCTGGTTCCCTTTTTAAACAAAATTGCATCCAGCATATGCAGCTCATGCCTTACTTGGCAGTATGAGGGTTGTCCCTTTTGGTCTGACTGACCCTGATAATCAGCGTGTTGCTCAGCAATTTGTTGAATTGCTTGAAGCCTCCTGTTTAAAAATCTGAAGATATTGTAACATTTTGATAGACTCCATCATTTGTTCCAGGGAGACATCTGCGTTTCAGTCTTGTCAAATACGACCTGTACAGTGTATCTGCTACCAGCAGTGAATTTCCTGGGGTGTACTTTGTCCTTGCTTCACAGTGCTGGAGTCTTACTTGAAAAAATGGTTGTTTGGGTGCAGTTACCAAGTTTCTTTCACATTGCCTTCCAATGGCTTGTAATCAGGTAGAATGCCAACTTTGAGCTGAGGGTTGAACCTATGAATCAGTGTAGCTGGTGGCTTCTTAACTACTTAGAAACATGAAGGGGGTCATACTTGTTGGGGCTTTCCTAGGTTACAGGTTTTGTATCAGTATTGCTCATAGGCTGCCTTTTGAGAGATCTACACTTTCAAATGTCTGTGCTTGAGGGTCTGATCATTTCCATACTGCATTATTATATTCTAGCTGTCTAAACTTCTTGCAGATTTTATTAATTGTTTGGTTATAGTTATAAATTGATGGACTTCCTTTGGTTCCTGTAGTCTAAATATGTTTTTTTTGTTGGTTTTTGTTTTTGGGTTTGTTTGGGGTTTTTTTTTTTTTGTTTGTTCTGGTTTTTTTAGGGAAGTGTGTTTTAAGGGTCTGGTTGAAGTCCCTCAAAAGTCAACAGATGTCAGATGTGGGCAAACTAGGCTTACAATTTCATATGATCTGTATTTAGTTTAATAACCTGTCCTGGCACCTATTTAGGCGCTGTTATAGTTTGGTATTACACTTTCGTTTTCACAACTTTCTTCTACAATATGAATACTGATGCTGGCACACTGTGCCTGGCTCAGTCTACAGTGGAATGGCTTTAGGGCTGGACTGATTCCCAGAGACATTTGTAACAAGTAGTATCTGTCAGAAGGAGTGGAAAATATTTCCAGGTGACTCATGTTGCTTCCTGTGCCAGAAGTTATTCTTGATATGATAAACACAGAGTGGATTTTTCATAGTTAGATCAGGTATCTGATGTTTGATATACCAGGCTTTTTCTTAAGGCTTCAGGAAAACCTTGGCTCAACCCTAACCCTCCCCTGCATACACCTTTATGAGCTCTCAGCTTTTAACTAGGACTTCCCCCTTTTCCTTTCTGAAAGTTGGTAAGTACAAGAAGATGGTACAAAGCTTGATTGGGCTGTGCCACTCAGCAGGTAAATCTGTGAAGGGGAAGGGGTGTGGGGGAGGGAAGGGGCATGGCGGGGGGCAGATCAAGACTCCCCACAGTGAGGGAGGGGGTAGGGCAGGAGCCGGGGTGAATGGGGCCCCAGGGCAGGCTGTGAGATGGTCGGAGCCCTGGGCAGTTCGTCCAGGGTCGCGAGGGGGCTACACACAACCTGGGTGTGGTAGGGGACTTCACCTGCTCCTTGGATTCGTGCGCACAACGGAGTGGAGGCAGGCTGCCGCTGAGTGCTGGGGCTCTGTGCCCTGCTGTCATTGCTGGCTGTGCTGTGTCCTGTGCCCACCCAGTGGCAGGATGCACGTGGCGTCGTGTGGCTCCCAGGGCAATGGCAGCAGGGTACAGAGCCCAGCCCTGGGCCACAGCCCACCTCTGCTCCGCCCTGCACATAAATTTGGGGAGCATGTGCGGCCCCATGCATCCTCTCTGGGGGTGTGCACAGCAGTGGGAGCCTCCTTGTGCCCCTGGATGAGCTACCCAGGGCTCCGACCATCCCACGACCCACCCCAGGGCCCCATTCACCCACCCCTTGCCCCTGCCTCTGCCCCACTCCCTTGCTCACTATGGGGAGGCCTTGATCTGCACCCCCACAGCCCTTCCCTTCCCTTCCCTTCCACACCCCCCTTCACAAATTTAGTTGCTGGGTGGTGTCTGTTCAGAAGTATCTTTTAAGTTTTACTTAATCCCCTTTCCCCACAATCGTATTTTCTCCCTCCGCCTATGGCTTCATCCCTTGCACTGTGCCCATAGGTTGAAAACTATTTTCTATGCCTTTTAATATTCTTATTTTATAGTGGATATACTCTGGACCCTTATTTGCTTTGGTTAGTTTGAATAACTAAACCAGTTACACATAAATATCTTTCTGCTGGGTAAAGGTTCTTTATTAAATTTAAATGTGTTCTTTGAAGAAAATGTAATATGTGTTTAACTCTACTGTCAGGTAGACTTAACCCTTTTGTTCTGTATTTTGACTCAGTATTCTGCCACTCCCTGCATGTGCCAAAATCCCCAAACAGCAGCTTCAGTTTACATTGCATATAGCTGTATATGTTGCTGAAATGGGGAATGTAAACCTTTGTCTGTCAAATGTGCAGTGATGCAAAGTCTACTTTAGCTTAGTGTTGTCAAACTTGCAAGTGGCTGGGGGCCATGTGCCCCATGAGACCCCCTCCCACATAGGCCTTTCCCCTCCCCCAGTGCACTACATACCTGTGGACCCCCCCCTTCGCCCCCCCGGGTGCACTACATGCCCCATTACTACGACGTTTGCCTGTGTCCCTCCCCACCACTACACTGGGCACCCACAACCCTGCTACACTGTGCCCACATGAGTGCCCCATTGTTGTTACCATGCATCCATGACCTTCCCCCTTTTTTCCAGCATCAGGCACCCGTGCAGGTGCTTACCACTGCACCACACATTTGAACCCCCACCCCAACGCCAGGCTCACTAGCTCCCTGATCTGCCATACTGCCCTGCCCCAGGGGGTAAGGAGGAGGAAAATTTTCAGATATAGGCAGAACGGACAGGTTAGAGAGTTGGGCAGACTGGAACCGGATGAAGTTTAACACTTCCAAGTGTAAGGTGCTCCATCTGGGGGCAAATAACCCTCAACATACATACAGGCTTGGAGGTGACAGCCTGACTTGTGCCACGGCCAAAAGGGACTTGGGGGTAATGATTGACCATTGCATGAACATGAATTGTCAGTGTGATGCGGTGGCCAGCAGGGCAGATAACATGCTGTCATGCATCAACTGATGCATCTCATGTAAAACTAAGGAAGTGATGCTCCCGCTGTACTCGGCACTAGTGAGACTGCAGTTGGAGTACTGCGTCCAGTTCTGGGTGCTGCGCTTCAATAAGGATGCGGAAAAAACTGAGAGGGTTCAGAAAAGAGTCGCCCATATGATCAAGGATTTGCAAGGCAAGCCATACAAGGAAAGGCTGAGGGACCTGGGCATCTTTAGGCTAAAGAAGAGAAGGTTGAGAGGGGACTTGATAGTGGCTTACCACTATGTCAGAGGAGTGCATCAGGAGCTTGGTGAACAACTGTTCGCTAGGGCACCCCTGGGGAAGACCAGGATCAATGGATATAAACTCCTAGAAGGCTGCTTCAGGCTTAATACCAGGAAAAACTCCTTCACGGTCAGGGTGTCCAAATTGTGGAATAAACTCCCTCCAGAGGTGGTGCAGTCCACCTATCCTGGCAGTTTTCAAGAGGAGACTGGACAGTCACCTCGCTGGGTTACTTAACCCCGGTTGTCTTCCTACCTAGAGCGGTGGGGCTGGACCCGATTATCTGCGAGATCACTTCCAGCCCTAACAATCTATGAAAGGGGAGTCTGGAGACTCTGGCTACTTTTGCAGCCAGAGCAATATGGGGAGGAGTGGCCAGGTAGAAGCCCAGGGCTGCAAGTTAAGTCCTCGTTGGCCATATATGTCCTAGGGTCCACCAGTTAGACAGCCTTCTGCTAGCTTATTTCCAGGCTAGTTCTGAATTGGCAGACACTGACTTCTTATTATCTGCCCTAGTTCAAGTAATTAATTGACAGTTATAGTAGTTCATTTCCATGCATGTCTGTAAAATAAGCAAGAACAGTGAAGTACTGATTTGAGCCATCCTCTTCAATGTAATGTAGTTTATAAAAGTTGTTTGCACGTGTATCTTTACTCAAAAAAAATTGTAAAAACACCTCTCTGAAGTGGTAACATACTTGTTGTGTTTATCAAATCAATTGCTTTTGAAAAAATGCTAAAGTAACTTGAGTCTTCCCTCCACGTAGAATGCACAGCATCTGCAAAGTTGTGCCTGTATATGTATAGGTTATTTATTAATCCAGAGACCCAAGATATACCGTGATTACAAACTTTGCTCATAGTTTTTACAGAGCCCAAGCAATTTTATCTATTTTCTTGATTTTTGTTCAGACAGTAAAAAACAAACAAAAAACCAACTTTATGCCCAGTCTCTATTAGAACGCTTTCAGTGTGATAGCTTCACAGTGGAGCAAATCTCAGCCAGAACAACGCAACTTAGTCATATTGAAAGGAAACTATTATTTTTAAATTAGTATAAACTTCCCCTTCTGTTTGTGTTCTTTTTTATATATTTGGTAGTGAAGGTGTACTACTTCCTTTACTTGGATTTGGATATATAATCATGAATGTATTATGTATGTGTAGTTTTGTAATATTCACAGTGTCTTAAGGAAACTGCTTAAATTATACTTTTTTTTTTCATCTGGGAAAGAGAGGCTAATGTATTTAATATAATTTGTGTAGTTTTATTAAATATTCAAATATCTATTATTTAAATTAAATGCAGTAGAATAAAACAATTGCCTTTCTGTCAAAGCAGTTATTTAGAGTTTTTGACCTGCTCTGGTATAACTTCAGTGTTACTATTTCATGTTATGAATCATTTTGCTTAATTTCCAGACTATATTTGCACAGTTCCAACACAGTCGGGAAAAAGCACTCCCATCAGATAATATGAGGCATGCCCTGGCTGAAAGCTTTAAAGATGAACAGCGTTTTCAGCTTGGATTGATGGATGATGCAGCAGAATGCTTTGTGAGTTTTTACATATGGTAGCCTATGAGAATTTCCACAAAGAGCAGCTCCAGCCTGGGACGAAATCATTGTTCCTCTTGGCTAGTTTGGGTAACTCCAACCCCTTAGCTGTTAAACAACTTGTGTCTAGGGCTGATGTTTCTCATGGCAATTTGTAGTGTATTCCCAGTCTTCTGCTACCTTGCGTTTGGTTAAGGAGTGCTTTAATGGAGAGGGGTGTTACCACTGAAGCAGTATTACCTTACTTTATCGTTATGTGTACCTTATGTTAAAGCACTTGTGGATGGTGCCTGGTCCCATCTAGAAGAAAGGTCTGTGTTTGAGACCTTTTGTCCTTTTATGAAAGGCAATGGATAAATCGGCTTAAGGAAATGTAACCCGTGCCCCCACCTCAGTTCAGTGGCTTCTTCAGTATGATAGGCAATGGAGCGGAGGCAGGTGCCTAAAAAAAATTTAAAAAATGGGTTGAGAGATGGGTATGCAACCACTCTGTTCTTCTTCTCCTCTTCCAGATTCCTCCCTCCCCCCTTTGCAGAGTCCAGCTAAATGGATAGCTCTTCATTTCCCCATTTGAAAGGTCATCATCATGAGAAGCCAGCTAAGCAAATTAGGTCTCTGCTGCTCTCAGTAGTACACAGAAAAGGAAACGTCATCAACTGATACAAAGACCCACACACATCTTTCGTGACTTTCTACCTCAATTTGGAAATAGAAATTCTTAAGAAACTTCCTTATTTGCTTTGCTTTTGAGAACAGATATTTAGCCATGTTGACATTTAAAGTGTCATTGGTATCTAAATGAGAACTCATTGAAATGATGGGGGCAGCTGAGATCTTCAGAACTCTTTCATGCTCTACACTAACTTACATATGCCCTGTGCGTCACGTTTTCTTAGTACTCCAAAATGTTGCCGTGAACAGGACTTCATGAGCTGGGGCAATGTTAAAAGTAAATTGCCTGTAATAGGCAATTTGCCAGAGCCAAGAGGAGTAATTGCATGCAACATAGACTGATATTCACAGAAAGTGAATCAAGGAGGTAATAATCTATTTACAATGTCCTTTTTGATTTAGGAAAATATACTTGAGAGGATTCATTTCCATATAGTTCCAAGTAGTGAAACGGATATGTGCACATCTAAATCCTGCATTGCTCATCAGAAGTTTGCTATGACACTATATGAACAGGTTAGATATTTGATTTATCTGGTGGCTTATTTCTAATTTCATCAATTTGTGGAGACTAAAACATGCCATTTATTCCAGTGCGTGTGCCGCAGTTGTGGGGCATCTTCAGACCCCTTGCCTTTCACAGAATTTGTGCGTTACATTTCTACAACTGCCTTGTGGTAAGAAACCTTACGTACTTTTTCTTTTTGCTTTTCTCTGCACTTGTCCCCCCAGTAATCCAAAAATCATACAGGTAAGTGTTATTTATGTATCTCATTCGTTCTCGTTTAGTTAAGATATCTAGCTGATCTATGTTTTTTAAGTAAGATTAGAGAGGATTTGGTTGAGTTAATTAAGCATGTATTGAAAAAAGTACCCTTTCTTTTTATTTGGCTTGTTAGGGTAAAAAGAGACATTGGCAAATGAAGCAGATCAGCTGTGGTAGGACACATCCTGCTGGAGCTGATCAACTTAATTGGGCAAAACCCACATAATCCATTATCCTGCATTGGGCAGAGGCCCAACACAGGACAGATGAGCAACATGTTTTCCTTGTTCAGGGGTTTCCCTGTGTCCCTCACTGGCCTGTGTTTCTTGGCTCATACTCATCCTAGATCCTGCACTGGTCCATGCTGTACTCAGAGGTACAGAGGATAGCTCAGAGACATAGGGTGGTGCGGGACCCCGGATCCCCAGTGCCCTGTACCTCCACACTGGGACCTATGCTTCACTTGGAGGCCTGGGTCAGTGTGGGTCCCAGAAAGGAAGTGCAGGGCCCCCAGAACTTCCTGGGACCTGCATCGCCCTGCACCTCCATGGCAAGACTCGTACTGACCCAGGCCTTTGGGTGAAGCATGGGTCAGTACAGGTCCCAATGTGGAGGCACAGGGATTCCCTTGGTCCTATGCCTCCACTCTGGGTCTATGCAGGCTTTTCCCACTTATGGGGACGTGCCTGTGGAGATCCTGGGACAGGTCTCCATAAGTGGGTAACCCAGACTTCAACCACTTAGAGGTACTGTGATATTCCTTGGGGCATGTCTCTAAGTGGGGAAAGTAGGGCAGGTGCTTTCAGGGTTTGAAGGGGGCCTGTTCCTGCAATAGAGTTCCCAGGGTGCATAGGATCAGGTCCCTGGAGCACCTTTCCAGGGTGTTTGGGGAGTGGAGGCAGCCCTAGGCTCTCCTTGTCACAAAGCAAAGAGCTGTTCCTTGCAATAAAGCGGTACTATATTAGACTGTCTTTTTGTCACGACCACTGATGTAACACAACAAAGGGTAGAGTCATCTATTTGCTCACCATTTTTGGCAGCACCAGTGTAACATCAGGTGATTTGTCTGTTTCTGCCCGTGGTGAATAAACGCATAAAAAGCATAATTAAAGGGCAGTAAATTCAGAAGTAACTAAAAATATCTCCTGCAGGATTTAGTCTGCTTCTACATTTTATGGCTTTAGGAGTATAAAACACCTATTGTAACTAGTTTTCTGAGACGGTATAGCTACAATTATGGCTACTAATGTAATCTAAAATATGGCTAGTTGTGAATCTGCTTTCTCAGTTTCCTATTTTTATCGCTTTCAAATTCTTTGACAAAGCAAGCTCTTCTGCTCCTGGCAGCATCATGCATGTATTTTGCATGTTATATAAAAGGCAGGGAGGAAGCCAGAAATAAGGTTTGAGTAGTTGAACTAAGATGAGTAAAGACCAGGTTTATAGTTGTATTGTATTGTAAAAGAAATGGAGTTTGGTCTGGGGTGACCGGGGAAGTAATAAGAGTTAGAGGTATGGAAGACAGGGGAATTGAAAATGGTACAGTTGTTAATCCAAGTGACAGTGAGTGGTGTACTCCTAAAATAAAATTGTATTTCTGTGGTCTCCATTTTGTACAGTAGCTTACAAATTCAAGCATTTTGCTTGCTTTTCTCTGTAACACCTCTGATTATACTGAAAATAAATGATATGTGCAAAGAAATTTTTAAAAATCCTTTCCTGTTTTGTTAGGTGTAAAACTTTTTTCAAGTTTTACTTACCTTTAAAAATACCTTCAGTGGCAAGTCTGTTTTCCTCTGGTTTTGTGATTGTTTCTTTTTGGGTTTTTTTTTTGTAATGCCTCTTTGCACATTACTTGAAAGCATAGCACCTTCGTGACTCCTCCCTCTGTGTAATTGTTTACACACTTTTTCCAGCTACCTCTGCTATATATCAGTATAGTAACATAAATATTTCTTTCTTTGATAGCCTCCTTCAGGTCTCTTTTGAGCATTCTCTTGTATTGAGAACTTCATTGCATAAAAGTAACCACCCTGACTAGTGGGTGTTGCCTTCTTTCATTAAAGAAAACCATTGCTGTGTGTGTTAAGGAGCTTTTAATTGCTTCCTCTTTTACTAAATTTAATTTATTAGTCTGACAGTCTTAGTACTGTATTTACCTGAATCCAAGATGACTTTGAATTTAAAACAACCTCTCATTAGAGTCTATATGTGAAAAATTACAAGTTTGTTATAATTTTCCATGTATAGAAGTGAGGGTTGTCTTAAATTCACAGTGGTAGGGAAATCAGCAGCAGGGAGTATGTAGCCTGACCCTTGCCCCTTTTTCTTTCCCCACCTGCTACCTGCCAAATCGTTTCAACCTTGGCCCCAGCATTGAACAGACAGTGGTGGAGGCAGCAGCCTTGGGTCAGGGCAGGGAGTAGAGCTGGAATCAGAGCAGCTCTCCCCCCACTTCTCCTCCCCCTCATCTCCTACACTGCATAGTCTCTCCCGTATTGAATGGGGAAAAATAATCTCATCTTAGATTTGAGTAAATATAGCAAGTTTTACTGAAACTAAGTTAATAAAACAAATTTTGCTATTCAGTAGGCTTTTTACCATAAACAAGTTGAACTTTCTGTAGCTTTGAACATGCATCTAAGTTTTTTTTATATAAAGAACTTAACTACTCTTTTTTTACCTGAGATGCATTACTGTAGCTCAGGTCTGAACGATGAGCTATTCTGTCACTTCCTACCACTATTTCAGATCTGTTAATCTGGTAGATTCATCATATAAAAATTTGATATTGGCAAATGTAGCAACCAAAAATGGTAATCATATATTAATGTTCCTACATATACATTGCCATTTTTTCAGGATATTATAAATTTAGTCGTAGGTAAAATTTCTTTACTTTTAAAATGGATGATTTGTGGTATGTCTTTTATTCTTATTACTTGTTTACAGCAATGAAGTTGATAGAATGATGGAAAGGCATGAACGCCTCAAGCCAGAAATGTTTGCAGAATTGCTACAGGCAGCAAATACCACTGATGACTTCAGAAAATGTCCTGTAAGTAGGAAAAAAAAAAAAATACTGGACTCTTGTGAGTTGGAGATTAGGAAGACTTGGGATTGTGGCTGCTTACTAACATGCGTTAAAAGTAGGACCTGGAGCTAAATTTTCCAAAGAGACTACAGACTAAACTCCATTTATATGTAGCTTAACATAAACTCCATTTATATGTAGCTTAACAAAACTATTTTGTCAGTTGCATGTGTAGATAAATCCTATCATGCCCAGTCATTTACTTACACACACACACACACACACACACACACACACACACACACACACACACACACACACACACACACACACACACACACACACACACACACTTGTGGGTACATAAATGGTCTCTTTGAAATTCAGGTGCTTAAATTCATCTTCTGTTCAGAGAGACTGCCATCTTTGCCAAATTGCATATCTAGGCTTTATTTCATGAATCAGAATTATACTGCAAAGCGAAGTTTGCTTTAGTCTGAACATAGTCGTAATGATATAACTTAACAGACTATAACAGAACAGACTGCTTTCTGTCTGGTTCATTGTATATGTTGTCCTAAAAACACCTTTCAGTGATTGTCTGCCTTCCTATTCTTGTAGAGATAGAAAAGGTGGAAAATTCAAAACGTGCAAAAATAGTCAGTGACCTTCCTCAAAAGTTACATATGTGCAGTGGATATGAAGAGAGAGCTCCACTGGTATTGGAGATGAGACTATTGGGGTACTTCTTGTAAAGATTAAGATTATATATCCCTTACCCTCTGAATTGTTCCTAATAACCATAGCAAAATTAAATTTGGGCGGTGAAAGGAATTATTTACTTTTTCACTCCAGTCACTTTCTTTAGAAATTTTGCATTCTTGAAGTTTTTGACACATTCCGTCTTTCCTTTATTTATTTTTCTTTCTTCTAGAGTAACTGTGGTCAAAAAATAAAAATCCGTCGTGTTCTCATGAACTGTCCCGAGATTGTCACAATTGGTTTAGTCTGGGATTCGGAACATTCTGACCTGACAGAAGATGTTATGCGGAATCTGGCAACACAGCTTTATCTTCCTGGGGTATTTGAACTAAAACTAATCTAAAAAACTAATTTAGTGATTTTTGCATTTTAATATTTAATACACCATATTCATGCTCTTCCTCATCCGTTTTTCTTAAATTTAACATTTTCAAAGTCATGTATTAATTGGACTTTCAAAAACTTGCAGACTCTTTGTCAGAGTACTAATGATTTTTATACTGCATTGTTTTCAAGGAACAGGTCCAATCAACTTTCCTTCCATAGGAGCGCACAGTGACTGCATCTGATTCAAGCGATTTGTGTAGCATTACATTCATTCTGAGCAGAGTAGTTCTCTAGGAGGATAGTTAGCTGCCAAATCAATAAAAGCATCCTTTCTCTTCTGCAGCTCCCCATCTTATTCATTATATGCTTCTGCAATGAAGAAAGCAAGTTTGGTAGATATTGGGCTTCTTTACTTCTACACACAAGATTTGTTCCTTCAGCACCATTCATATTGGTTAAAATATGGGTCATATGCGTCTAATGGTAGTGTAACCCTGTTGTTAAATTGCCGTAGTGCAGATATGCAAGTGGATTAATTAAGGTTGGACAGGGATCAGAGCATACCTCTTCCTTACTGAAAAATGTTGTGGAAGTTTTAATGTCCGTGCAGAGCATACCTTACCCATGTAAGGTTTATCCAGGTACTCCCCCACAGTGAACTGAATGGTACTCAATTTATCTTGCAAAGAATAAAGGTTAGAGTTGCGTACTAGGATTCAGACCTTAGACTACAGGTATTTCACATCTGAGTGTTAAGAAATTTGATCAAAGGAAGGAAAATAGTTAAGATTATCCAGTGTACTTGTGCACACTAGTTAACTTCCATTATTGTATCACAGGCCTCCCTTGATTTATTTTGCTACCATTCTCTTGTTTTTACACTACCTAGGGCTAGGCAATGTGATTAGGTCAAACGGGGATAATGTCTATTTCAGGTTAAAAATGAATGGGTCACTCCTTGTATTGGCTTCTGATGCATCATTGCTGAAGTTCCAGGTAACATCCTATTCATAGTAGGGGGCTAAGACTAATAATAAAGAATGAAAAAAATCAAGGTGTAACCATTTAAAAGAAAAAAAGTTCAGTTAAGGCCTTTTTAAAAGTATACCTAAGCAGTGGCAGATACTTAAGCAACCAGACCAAAAAAAAATAAAAATCCAGCACTTCTGCAAAATGTTTTTGGAGTATTTTGTTTGTATAAGGGCACAGGGTATCAAAAATACTGCTGTGCTATCTGTGTATTAATATTTTAGTAGACTTGTGTGTTAAAAAGAGTAGTTCTACATAGATTGTAGCCCGGCTATAGTGATGTAATTGCTTTGCTGAGACAAACAAGTGGTGTAGATATTAATCTTAATGAATTTAAAATGTCCAAAGTAGTAGGATTTTTCCTATTTAACTCATACATATTCATGTTTACAGTTGTTCTATAGGGTTACAGATGAGCAGGCTAAAAATGCTGAGCTTTATCTTGTGGGGATGATTTGCTATGCAAGCCGACATTACTGTGCCTTTGCCTTTCATACTAAGAGCTGCAAGTGGGTCCTGTTTGATGATGCTAATGTGAAAGAGGTAAACTTTTTCTACACTTAGAACTCTTCTAGTGCCCAACTCTAAATTTGTCTTCATTTCTTAAAGATTCTCTACTAAGTCAAGTTTTAATTGACTGCACAGTTTTACTGTTCTGTCCTCTGTTTACTGGGTATTTCAGGTTGTGCAGTGTAGTGTTTTGTTTAATGAATAACTAATGAAAGCCCAAAGTATTTGTAGTTTTGGTGTTTACTTTGCTTATGCAACCATTGTTCACTGCTTTTCTACTGTAGCTTGCATAGCAACCTTATGTGCTATCTGAATGTGCTGTGTTTTCAGATTGTACAAGATACAAATATCTCACATTTCTGGTGTATTTGTATTCTTTCTTTGATTGGATTTAGTGGCTAGTTATTTTTTATATTTGATGCAAATACGATTTTTTTTTTTCCTCAGGTTGGAACAAAATGGAAAGATGTGGTCTCCAAGTGCATTCGATGTCACTTTCAGCCATTGTTGCTATTTTATGCTAACCCAGATGGTACAGCTGTATCCACAGAAGATGCACCTAGACAGATCATTCATTCTCACTACAAATCGGCAGCAAGAAATGGGGAAGACTTAGGTAATAAAGCTTTGACCAATAACTGGGAGTAGGCAATCAAATTTCCTGTTAAAAACTTGGCATGTATTATTTAACATTAGAACTATCAAATGCTTTGTGCCAGAGAGAAAAATGTGAATTGACAGACGTAGATGAAGAATTCCTGACTGGAAAAATTCTTTTTAATTATGAACAGGTTAAACTTGAATTATTAAAAGTTGGAAATGCAAGAAATATTGTGTAAGATGCAATTTTGGCCTATGTGGCCTATTAAGATGCAATTTTGGCCTCTTAATCATTGCTTTTATTTTCCTTTTTGGGCTTGATTAGAACTAATTTGTATAGGGTGAGAAATTCTATTTAAGAAGGCAGTCTTGGAATTATTTTTTTTTAACTTAAGTGTAACTGGCTGGCCACTGTTTCCTTTTTTTCCCCTTTGATCCCATAAAAATATTGGAAAACTAAAAGTTCTAAGAAACACTGCATTATAGTTATGGTGCATGTTAAAAATCTAGTTGTACTTATAGCTGTCAATTTCTGTTGATTCTCTCAAAATTGAAATTAATAAAAGGAAAATTGAGTCTTATCTGTTCACATCATGATGCTGAAGAAAAATTGAAGAACAAATGTCACTACCATATTTGTTACAAATTGCATTATCATAAGTAAGACATGCCAAAATTTGTTTGCATGCTAAATGTAACCAGTTCAGGTAATTTAAATGTGGTTACCCATAAATTAGTAGGTTTTCATTTCCAAAGATAGATTATATGTTGTTTTATAGGTTTTGAAAAACCAGCTGTTCCAAAGTTGGATCACACAAGAGATAATGGATGTGGAGAGCCTCCAAATCAAAAGGGCAATAAAAAATTTCAGCCTGAAAACGTCAGTTTCAGCAGAGCTCATGTTCAGGCTAGTGGTGGTAAGGGACCAGGTACGTGCCTCTTATTTTCTTAAAAAAAAAAAAAAATAAATAATTGCTGTGCAAGGGTTCAGTTAGCAACATGTGTTTTTTAATTGCAAGGCTTTGTAATTGATCTCCTAAAATAATGTAATATTTCTATTAACCTTTATTTTTAAAAATTTGCAATAGGCACAAGTGATTGTCATCTTTTGAAACTTTTAATTTAACAAGCTAAGATGTTAGTAGTTAAAGCTAAGGTATAATAAAGCTAATTGTACATTTTATTTACCATGACTGTTCAGTTTAATTAAAAATGCTATAATGAGTATTTTTGCAGTTAAGTTAGGGCACCAAGATCAAAAGGACAAGTTCAAGGATATATCCAGAGAATGTGCTCAGAAGGCAGTTGATATGAGAAACGTTCAGTCCTCCCTAAGGAAAGATGCAGACAGAGGACCAAAAAAAGACTCTGGGAGACAAAGAGGTACTTTTTTTTTTTTTTTTTTTTTTTTTTTTTTTTTTTTTTTTTTTTTTTTTTTTTTTTTTTTTTTTTTTTTTTTTTTTTTTTTTTTTTTTTTTTTTTTTTTTTTTTTTTTTTTTTTTTTTTTTTTTTTTTTTTTTTTTTTTTTTTTTTTTTTTTTTTTTTTTTTTTTTTTTTTTTTTTTTTTTTTTTTTTTTTTTTTTTTTTTTTTTTTTTTTTTTTTTTTTTTTTTTTTTTTTTTTTTTTTTTTTTTTTTTTTTTTTTTTTTTTTTTTTTTTTTTTTTTTTTTTTTTTTTTTTTTTTTTTTTTTTTTTTTTTTTTTTTTTTTTTTTTTTTTTTTTTTTTTTTTTTTTTTTTTTTTTTTTTTTTTTTTTTTTTTTTTTTTTTTTTTTTTTTTTTTTTTTTTTTTTTTTTTTTTTTTTTTTTTTTTTTTTTTTTTTTTTTTTTTTTTTTTTTTTTTTTTTTTTTTTTTTTTTTTTTTTTTTTTTTTTTTTTTTTTTTTTTTTTTTTTTTTTTTTTTTTTTTTTTTTTTTTTAATCTGGCTTTAGAAACAAGGTTTATAGCAAATTCAGCGTAACTGATATTTTTTGTTTGGCAAGTTAAAAGAAAACCTAACGTTAGCTCTTTGTTAAATGCATGCCATTTGAGCTTGTTTAGCCTGTAATAGTATGACAGGAATAAATAGCTATCATAGGCAAAATATTGTCAAACTGGGGACTTTATTTTAATTGAAAGGAGAAATTCAAAAGAGGTTTCTTTTATTTTTTTTTCATTTTTATTTAAGATCTAATTGGAGAAGACCGCTCTCACATTAAGTCGGGATCGCCTCCTGTTGGGAATGGATTTAGACAATATGCTGACCAGCGCATTTATAGTAGCCGGGGAAGAGGACTTTACAAACATGAAAGTATACCACATGAACCCAGACTGCCTTCACAGGTACTTGGGTCAAATAAAACAGAAGCTTTTCTTGCTGTGGAAAAAGGGATGAACAGATCTAGGATTGACAATACCACTGGCTATGAAACAGATAGCAGCCAAGATTCTAGGGACAAGGGAAGTGTTGTCAGCAGCAGTAGAAGCAAAAGCAAAGCTTGGAAGCCTATGCGAGAGACATTAAATGTGGACAGCATTTTCAGCGAGACTGAAAAAAAGCAACATAGTCCAAGACATAAGGCAAATCAAAGCAATAAAGCTAAACAGGAAAAGGAGCAGAGCTTTAATAAGTGGCCAAAAGAAAATCAAACCCAGAAGAGTTTAATGACCATTTATGAAGATGAAACAAAACAGGAGACGGGGAGTCGAAGCTCTCTGGATTCTGATGGAAAAGGGAATCTGGAGAAAGGAAAAGGATTTACAGAAAGAAAAGTCCATGGTGACAACTGGCAAATACAAAGGACTGAATCTGGATATGAAAGCAGTGATCATATCAGTAATGGATCTGCCACTCTGGATTCGCCTGTCATTGAAGGAACCAACCCAATGGATACCCGAGGTGTTAAAGAAACTGTTTCCTTCAGGTAAAGCTACAGCCAAACAAACAGTAAACTCTTTTTGTGCTCATGTGGTTTTTCCTGGATTAAGTTCAAACTTTCCGTTTGAGATTTGCCATCTTTTTATTGGTGACAATAGATGCAGAAAACTCTGAAGGGTGGAAAGGGGCTTGTGAAGTAGGAAGTTGGGAGGTAGTCATAAAAAAGAAATACAAAACCAAGTAAATTCTAAATTTTTTTTTTTATAACTACCATGGCTCAGTCCTTCAGTGTTCAAAACTAGTATCGGTTCTGTACATGTAAAATTGGGCCCACAGTAGATAATATTTATGGACAAATCAAATGCAAAAGCAATGGTATACATGGTCTAGAATGAGGGTGGCCAATATATGACACATGCCACAAGTGGCATGAGCAGCCTCTGTGTGTGGCACTCAGCAGTTCAGGAAGAAGATATCTTCTGCTGTGCTGCCTTTTCTGGAAACAGAAAGCTAAGTGGGAGATCAAATATGGATTATAGAGTAGGGAGCAGAAGGCAGAGCAGATCAGGCAGAGGTAGAGGATCAGGGTGCAGAGCTAATTTGTTGGCTCCTACTAGTTGACTTAACATTTAGTTAACTTAGTATTTTAGATTTATACTTTGCAGTTCAGTGAATAAAGTATTTAAAATCTATACCACAAAAAGCTTAAAATATAAGTGCACACATTAGTAAGACACAGATTCAGGAGTGTGCAACCCCCAGCCCATGGGTCAGATCTGGCCTGCAGTCGTGTCATTTGACCCATAGGGCTCCCCTGGTCCAGAAATGTGGCAGCAGGGGAGTGTTGGCATGTTGATTGCTGCTCCCCCGCTACCAAATATTGGCACGCATGGGGAGCCTCACAGGTCAGGTAGCATGGCCCTGTGTGCTGGCTCGTGCACTTGTCTGTGGGACCAAAAGGTGGAGCGCCACTGAACAAGCTTAATAGTGAGATTTAGTTTGAAAATATACTATATGGAACACAATAAACACAATCAGTTTTCTACATGTTTTACACCTTTCAAACACTTACATTGCATACTATATTTCCTACTGATTAGAAATTTAGTTATTTTTCTTTTATTGAGCCTTGAACTCCTCATAAGCCAGGGGTGGGCAATTATTTGGGCCCCTGGGCCACAATAGAGAGTTTGGAACTGTTGCAGGCTGGATTGGCACTGCCCTTTCCTCCATGCAGCAACTCACCAACACTCGGGGTGCTGCCTGTGTGCTAGGTCCAGGGAGCCAGCTGGGGCTGAGGGGAGGGAGGGGGTGCGTGTAACAGAATTTGCCTGGGCCAGCGGGAGCAGTGCTTGGGAGCAGGACAGGTGGGCAAGGCCAATCCACTCCCTGCATGCCCTGTCCTGTGTGGGGTGTGGGTAGGGGTGCTGCCTGTGTGCTAGGTCCAGGGAGCCAGCTGGGGCTGAGGGGAGGGAGGGGGTGCGTGTAACAGAATTTGCCTGGGTGGTGCGGTCTGTAGCTGCCCCCATGGTGCTCTGCCTGAGGCCGAGCCCCACCTGGGGCATGCTATACTGCGTGCCTGGCTCTGGCCAGTGCACAGCTTCTGGAACGGCTGTTCCCCATGCAGCTGCAGCCCAGCGGAGCTGTTCCCTGTTCTGCTCTGCTTCCCTCACTCCAGCAGGAACCACACAGCTCAAGCTCCCCATGTTCGGAGCAGTGCAGCAGGGGAAGGAGGAGCAGCTGCAGCTGAAGGAAGCAGAACAGCACCGCTGGCTCAGGCCCAAGCCAGCACATGCAACTTCTGGTGTGGCTGTTCCTGGTGTGGCTCCAGCTGGCCAGGTGCTGCCTTGCTTTCCTTGCCTCCAGCAGCTGCCCCTGCCCCTGGGGGAAGATTCAGCCAGGTAGTTCCCACTGGAGGTGAGGGGAGCAGAGCAGCACTGGGAACAGAGCTGGTGTGGGCTGCCCCAGTAGGTGGGGCATAGCCCCTTGCAGAGCACCACAGGGGCATAGATTGACAACAAACAGGCCAGCTGGGCTCCTGCCTCAATGTGGACAAGGCCAGGCCAGATGTGCATGATATGGCGGGCCGTGGCTGCCGGGCACCACTGCAGTCAGACTAAGCTGCGGTGGGGTGAGGGGCCGCCCCGGAGCTCAGTCTGTGCCACATGCACCCAGTGGGCAGTGGCTCTGGTTCTAGCTCCACTGCAGACCTGCGGGTGGGGGCAGTTGCACCTCCTGCCCCAGGCCTGGGGGGCAGCACATACTGCTCTGGCCGTTGCTCCCACTGCGCTGGCCAGGGACGGAGCTTGCAGCCATGGGGTGGGACAGGGTTTGGAGGCCCAGGCCCAGGGCCCTGATTAATCTTAATGCACCCCTGCACAGGGGCTGCCCCAAGCTGGTCCAGTCAGTTGTGCAGCTAAATCCAGCCTTAGGGCCATATTTTACCCACCCCTGTCATAAGTTGAGAGAGCCAATACTAGTCCAGGCTCTTTTGCCTCATAAATATTTTTGTTGGGTGACATTTGTCTGACAAATTATTTGAGGTTGACCAAAACATTTCACTAAGTCAGGTATTTTGGTAGTACTTTAATAATAATAAAAACATTTTTGTTGTGATGTTCTTGGAGGAGGCAGGGCAGGATTTCTAATCAAGGGTAGAGACAGATGAAACATCCTGTTTTAAAGTGTGTGTGTTTGGGCCAAGGGGGGAGGCGGGGAACTTACCTCAGCACAGCTAAATCTGCTGTAACTGTTACCTGCGTACTCTAAATTGCAATACTTTTTTGGTAAAAGCTAAATTTCTGCCTTTTAGCTTCACCTGCAGGAAAGTAGGAGTGGGCTAATGAATCCTTTGCAACAGAACAGCTGACAAGTGATCATTCCCCTCTATCCTAGTCTACAGCTAGAGGGAATTTCATTTAAAAAATAATTACATTTTTAATGAGTATTTTTAAAATTGTAAAAAAAAAAGCCAACAATAAAAAACCCATTAAAACATTACATTTAAGTCTGAAGCAAATTGTTGCTGCTTTTGGCTTGCCCTGGGAAAGTTTTTTTTTATTTTGGGTCAGCCAAAATGCTTCTCCCACCCTCCCAATGTTTTGTAAGACTGCAGACAAATGATAAAAACAGTTTTTATGCATCTCTAGTTATCACTTTTAAAATGACTGTTTGGTAAAATGAGAAATTGCATATTATATAACACGTTTGGTGATTATTAGCTGCTTATACTATTTTTAAATGCATTTTTTCCTTTAATTTTTTTTTACTGTTCAACCATGAGTGACAAATTCAGTACTGTAAGTTTTTCTGAGGTGTGTCGCACACTTAGAAATGTTAATTAAGGTTTAGATAACTTTAGAACATTTCTCACTATATATTTTACAGGCTCATAACTTTAACAAGCCATAAAGGAACTTCATGAGACTTTTTTTTCCCTCAGGAGGCAGGGGAAGATGACTTTAGAGAAAAGTGTCTTGCACTGTGCTGTTTTAAATGTTTTTTTTTCCTCCTCCCACAAATGCTTTACTAAGTAATATTACAAAGAAGAGGCAATGTGTACATTGAATATTTGCGTGGGAAATTTATTGGGCACTTACAGTTTCAAACTACTGAATTTCTTTTTCATCAATGGTATTGCCTACATAACTCTCAAAGTTTGACCAGAATATTTAGGACTGCTGTTGAGAAGAAGGTTTATAATTTTATTTCCCCTCCCCTTGCACTTAAACTTAATTTTCTTTTTCAAGTTTATTTGATTAAAGTAAAGTGAAATTTCAAAATTGCTCTGGCTGGGCCACAAACTGTAGCATTCCCTTTCTTTAATAAATGATCTTTTTCCTTGTGTTCTGACATGAGGAGAAAATTTTCAAAGAAACCAGTTGGATTTGGGTTCCTTTCTTTGCCTTTAAAAAGCTTTCCATTAAATGATAGATAATAACCACTTCTGGCCTTCATGAAGAACAAATACCATTGAAAACAAATAATATAAGATATGGTTGATGATTGTGTTTCATAGTCAGCACATTTTTTAAACTGCTGGTAACTTTAGGATTCAGCTATCTTCAAAAAGCCAGTGTATATGTATGGCTCATCCGAGGACTGTGGGGCTTGAAAGATATGACTTCTTTATCAGTAAATTTTGTAAGGAAAAGATTGGCGCCCAGGTTTATATACATAAAGACAATTTTTTTAAAACTTAGTATGTAAACGTGCATAGGCAACTGGCTTTGTATTAGTAAATTAAGTGTAAACTATACTGGCTCATTTATCTTACAGTGACCTGACTCCATCAGCCAAAAAACCTGAAAATATGTTGCAGTCTACCTCTCAGCAGAACAGGAACTATTTTGAGGGTGAGAATTTTAACTTGCGTTTTTTCTTTCTATGGAGGGCTTCATAAAGAATTTATAGATGTGCCAGAATTGTTTAGTTTCATAATTTTAATACAGTGTGAGAAGTTGAAAGGTTCCAAATTTGACTTGACAAAAGCTGGTGTTTAGAAGTAATCTCATAATACTTTGTAGGATTGACAATTTGTGTAAAAGTGAACTTTTATCTTCCTCTAACAACTGTTATTAGTGATGACCAAAACTTGTATTTAGATTGGTAAAATATACAAGTACATTTTCTTGATTTTTTTTTTTTAATTGAATTCTTGAAATATTAATTCAGCATGTGTCTATGCTGCACAGTGCAGACTGGTGTAAAATTATCTAAGCTAACCCTAAGTAGACTAGCTGGGGTATGGAAAGCAGCATAGTAGTTGCACAAAACAATGTGGTAGGAATGGGGAACTGCTATTTATCCCACTTCTAAATGGGCTAGTTTGGATATCTACAATACACTGGGTTATGTAGTGTAGACATACTATGAATCATGTTTTGTTGTAAATTACATTTAATTGTTTCGTAATTCAGAGTGTAGTGACCTATTGTAGTATTTTGGTAACTCACATTTTAGTCTGCTAAATTATACAACACTTGCTTCTGTAGCTGGGCAACATTTAGAGTAAACAACTTTGTATGCAATATATACAAGAAAGGATCATTATTGGAAATGGTCCCAACATCCATCTTCAAGTCTCCCCTTTTCAAACATTTTTCTCTAATGCTTATCTAGAGTCTCAATTTTTTTTCTGTGTTCTGGCAATTTACTGTAATGAAAATTTGAAAATTTATTTTTAGCTAGGATGAGAATTTGATCAGTTTTGGTAATTCTTTTTGAATCCTCAAAGCAAAGACTTCCTTTTACTAAGTACTCAGTTTTTAAGTAAGATCTTCAGTAGCTGTATACCTCCCTCAAACAATTTTTCATTGGAATATAGCCGTATCAGGAAGAAACGCTTGGAAAAGGAAATCAGCTTCCTTTTCCATATTAAAATGTCTCCTGGTTTCCTATAAAGCTGATAAATGCCTCTGAATACTTATATTACAGGAAATAGTATGGGGTCAGCCAAAATCTCAATCTAATGATGGTGGAACTACTGTACTTATACAAAATCTATATGGGTTGGGACCAGTAAATATTTGGTTATTTTCTCAAGAGAGATTTTATTTTATAGAAAATGTACTATAATTTTCTGTTAAACTGTATAGGTTTCATAGTCTTAGAAAATTAGAACTGAGGGCACAGCAGGAGTTCTAGTTCAGCCCCCTGCCCAAGGTAGGAGCATCCCTTTCTAAACCATCCTAGAGGAGATTTTTGTGGGGTGGGTTTTTTTTTTTTTTTTTTTTAGTGTGTTGTTTTTTTGGTTTTTTTTGTTTTTTGTTCCCCCCCTTTCCCACCCTTTCAGAGGAAAATGCACATTCCCAGCCCCATACGATGACCTGTAAATCCCAGAAGCATGGATTAACCAGAAATCCTCCCAATCTACTTTGCAACCCGGGGACAAACACAATTCACACACCCTGATTAAAGAACTTTTGGTATCATCCTGTCCCCCCTGTAAACTTGTCCCAGCTTGTTTAATTTTCTTTCATTAACTAAGCTGATTTTTTTTTTCTGAGCTCTGCTCAGTTCTCCTGCTACTGAGCATGGTCCTCTCCAATTTTTACCCACTCCAGGCTACAGAGTTCTCATAGTCCCTGGGCATTGTGTGGGGGAATCTGCTGGGCTTCCAACTTGCTTTTCACAGCATACTGCAGGCATTGCTTCTTCCAAATAATCCCTGATCAATGCTTATCCAGCATTGTCATCTTGAAAACCTCCAGGAAAGCAGATTCTATAACTTAGTCTATTCCACTGCCTTGCTTTTTTTTAACAGTGACATTTTCTCCTGATATCCAGTTTAAAAACCTACTTTGCTGCAACTTCAAAGAATTGATACATATCCTTCTCTCTACAGCAGTGGAAAAAAGCTGTTTTCCATCTTTGACAGGCCTTCAGATATTAGAAGACTGCTGTCATGTCCCCCTGTCTTAATGGCCCTTATTTTTTGCAATCTAAACATGCCTGCCTTATTTACTCAATTCTAAGATGGTTTACCTCTCATTTAACATGGGTGGTAGGGAAGAAAGCCCTCTTCATAGAATTGTGTGCTGTGGCTTGGGCTCCAGGCCTTCCCTGGGCTTAGGGCCATAGCTGTAGCTGCTGCCCCTCTCCTCCACCCCTCCGCCCCATTTTGTTTGCTCTGTGCTGGTGGGGCTCCATGCACACTTGAGTCTGGAGCGCTGAGCACGATCCCAGTCCAGCCTGAAGCAGCCCATATTTGTTGTTTTGTTTTTGATGCCTAAATGTAGCACCTTACATTTAATCCCAAATTCAAAGCACTTTCCTTGTACCATTATTCAAAGTCTTTCTGGGATATGGAAGATGAATGAACCTATTTCTTTTTTTAACATCACATGAAGTAATTAACAATTGTCTGATGTTACGTGGAATACCAATACTCTATTTGACCTATACCATGATACGTTTGTGCTATATTCGTAGTGCCATGAAAGGAAGAGTTAAAACTGCTCTTTGCTAGCACAACGAAAAAATGTGAACTATATCAAAGGATATCTTCTGCATAACATGCATATTGGATTACATTAAATACTTGAACTTCAGTTACTGAAACATTGTTAAAAGTGCCTTCATATAAAGTGTTCAAATACTGTATTTAGAAAATGTCTAAAATGCATTCATTCTAAATAATGCTGAGATCAGACTGGAAAAAATAATGATATTGATATTCATTTCTTATGAAAATGTTCAGAAATTATATGTTCCAGATCAAACTGGGTGTCTACATATTTAAAAAAATACCTTTTAAAGCAAGGACATATTTTTAGGGTAAATTTCAAGTAAGGAGTGAACTACAGGCTATAATTGCAAGATAATGAGTACATGCCAACCTAATTTATTCCCGTTTGTCCTTTATCCCATAAGCACAATAACAAATGTTAGATGCAAGAAGACCAGTTGTTGTGGAGGTTTTGCTTTGTCCCCAAATCTGTGGGTTTAAAGAAGGGGAGGGGGGGTTGCTTTGTCTTTAAAGCAGACATTCCTTTAAATTTGCATTGGATTAAATACTTTCAAAAATACAAAAAGGCATCAATCCATTACTTAGCAGTCTTTAAATTGAATCATATCAGATTACTTTTACTTTTTTTTTTTTTTTTTTTTTTACAAACTAGGGATGTTGGTTGTATTTTGTCATTTATAGTTAACCTCTGAGGAGTGGGGTTAACAGGGATGTTTAAATGTCAGTTGAACTGATGATCAACTACTATCTAACTCCCCTAACAAATGTTGCCAGAACAAATAAATTACATATACATGTTAACAGTATACATTTAGTTGGTCTTGTAAAAGATACCAGATGTACCCAAAGAACCTTAACTGTATACATTAACACTTCCACATGATCCAAGCAGAATAAGAGAAAACAATACCTAGTTCATATTTCCTCATGTGAAATCAAGCAGATCACTTAGCCTCCCCAATGTATATGCCTTTATAATGTAGAGGTAACTTTGTTTTTTTGGAAGTGTCCATCATTAGCTTAATTCTGCTACCACTGAAGATACTAAACTGCATTGAACTCTCAAGTTAATTCCCCCATTGGTTTTATTTAAAAATATTGATGATTTGATTTACAGAAAATACTGCCAAGTTGCATAACTCATGGCTTTTAGCAGTTCTACTTCTGTTCTAAAAACACAACAGGAAATCCATAACTAAAGTATATTCATAAAGAGATAAAGTTCCCTTTCTTTTTGCTTTCTTTTTTTAACTAAAAGTGTATATTATTTCTTAATTGCAGTATTTTGACATGCTATATTGGAAATATTTTTAAGTTTATTGATTAATTTTAATTTTTATCACAGGAAGTGTCACCTGTTGGATATAGGTGTATATGTTTTAGTCTTTTGAAAAAATCTATTCAGAAGTTTGTAGGATGTTGTTGATCTCAGAAAGCATAATGACTATTGACAGGCTTTTGAAAGAAGGCAAGATTTTAGTTAATTTACTGTTTAAACTTTCTGTACTCTGCTGATAATTGTGTTGAGGCTTCTGCTGTGCAGCTTGCTAATGTCTGCCATATTTAGGTTTGTGAAGAACCCGGAGCCAAAATTCCCAATAGACTCTCTCTGGTTTTAACCATGCATGGCTCTCCATGTCAGCAGAAGAGAAAAATAACACGTCTATTTTTAAATTAGCTGGAATTCTGGAAGCACAAACCTCACACTGTCAGGGACCAGCTTTGATTGAATGCCTCTCGGTGACTATTTGCAAACCTCTGCTGCCGCCTCCTGTCCACTTTTCATCACTGCTTTATGAAAGGCGTTTTCATTTCAGTAAAAAAGCTACTGAATTTCTCAGTTTGATTCTGCTACTCATATTAGTAAGGAGTAATTTTATAGAAAACATAACTAGATAATAGACATCTGTCATGCAAGATCTACCAATTATGCAAGATGTTGAAAGCTAAACGAGTTGCTGTAAACCTTGCTAACAATGGTTAGTAAATGTGTTTTAGGCGAAATTATTTTGAAGTAACACAGACCTTTATTCCTGTATAATAACGAAGGATCTAAACTTAGTATCTTTTGACTAGAAATTATTCCTGTAAGGAAAAATCTGAATTGGAGATGGTTTCTACTTTTCTGTTGAATAACAGTTCAAGATATTTGTAACAGAATTACTTTGTGTGAGTTTCTTATAAAAGTTATTTCTGTCTTTGTATGGAAACTGACTTTTGCTATTGCATAACTCTTTTTCCACCCTTTAAGAGGTGCCCCACTTAAGCCCCTAACTACCTGCTTCTTTTGCCACCATCTTTTTTTGTAGCCATTGTATCAGCTCAAAGATCAGAGCAGATGTAAGCCCTTTTTGTACAGTGTTCCCTTGGGATAAGGTCTTTTAAGCTTCATCCCAAATTTTGTCTAAGACCCAAATAAACCCATCTATCTCTCAAGTTTCTTTCTCAAATCTCACTTAAACTAAGAGGAACCTAAATTAACATATTAAAGGTAGTAAATCCATTCTCTTTACACCAACAGGACAAAATAATTTAGGAGCACACCTATTTGTTACCTTTCTGTAGAATTAATGGGCACTCCATGTCATAAAGCTGACCTGCATGGGTTTCCAACAGTCTGACTTCAGCCAGGCTAGCTCCACCTTCCAATAGTGGAGCTCATTCCACTTCTGGACAGGAGGACCCTTCAACCTGTTTGAAGAATGTTTCCATTTCAAAATACATAAAGGCAACTAAGTGGAGCACAGTCCAGACTTTTACAAGCTGCTGTGCTTTTGTAGAGGCTTTCAGACCAGATGATGTTTGATGTAGTAGGGCTGTTGTGCAGTTATTGTTTTAAATAGGAGTTTTAGTACTTATCCTGAAACAAATAGCTGTTAGTCACCAAAGTGAAATCTACATGGTCAGTCTGTTTGAGGGAACTGTTACTAGCCACATTAAAAACTGCTGTTCTTTGAAGTTTCCACAGTGATCTCAGGATCCTCCCTTGATCCTGTGCCCACTGCCCTGCAACTCTCTGTCTGTATATTCGAAGATGTTGGTTGTACCCATGTTGGTCTAAGAACACAGGCAGACAAGGTTCTTTGGGTAAATGTCAAAACATTTATTAGATCAACTAAATAATTGGGGGAAATGGTTCTTTGCAAGCTTTTGGGTACAAACACCCTTCTTCAGGCAGAGGGAGAGTCTCCAGTTGTATTGTGATCTCCTGGAAGGGATAGAAGCCAGTATGCAGGAATGCAGGTCAGTGAACATGCAAATGTGTGGCAGTGAGGATATTTTGTGTCTAAAGTGTATGTTTGAAGAAAGAACTGTCTTGGCTCATTCAGTCCTTGATGTATTTGTGTGGAGATGTGTAAGGACTTGGGCACAGGTGTGACCCCAGTGGAGTTTGTTGGTCAAGAATTGGATGTTGTGTCCACAAGGCATATGCATATCAGTGGAGGCAAGTAGGTAGTCAACACATCTCTAAGAATGATGGTTACTGTAAACAGTTGTTCTTTGTACCTTTCTGGGAGTTGAAGTTAATCTTTTGCCTGAATGAACCCACCACATCTAAACTTTATTAGTGTTATATTAGTAGTGTCTAAGTGTTTGATAATTAATAGAATCATTTATAATTTCTGTTGCTTAAATAAGTTCTTCAGTATGTAAACATGGGCAATAGGAAATCTGCTCTTTGTAAAGTCCTTTGTTATAGTGTTTGTAATTGGATGAAAAGTTAAAATGACTTGAAAACATGCCTACAGCCCTTTAAAAAGTATTGCAATTCATGGTCTAATTTGTTCACTCTGATTATATTAATTTGGGAGAGCTGGAAATCGCATCTGAAAGATTTTTAATGGATTAAAAAAAAACCCAACACAAATGGAATGTTTTATGAAGAGGGATTGAATTGGACGTGATTTTTGTTGACCTGTAGTCTTTTCTTTAAGAACATAAGAATTGTCATTTGCTGGGTTAGACTGTAGGTCCGTCATGTCTAGTCTCCTGTCGCACAGTAGCAGAGTGGATGCGGAAAAGGAGAGTGAATTGGGTATAAGTGGTTTTTTTCAAGTGCTCCCCTTTCACTTGCAGTCTTCAGCATTTAAGGTCTTGATTCAGAGCTATATCTCCAATTCCCATGCTCAGTAGCTACTGATGTCTCTTTCCTTCAAGAATTTGTCCAATCCCTTTTTGAATCTAGCTAAACTGTCAACTTCTACAACATCTGGTGGTATTGAGGGCCATACTTCAATTTCATGCTGTGTGAAAAAGAACTTCCTTTTGTTAGTATTAAACTTACTACCTACTAGTTTCGTTTTGTGACCCCCCCTGACCCTAGTTCTTGAATTGTGAGAGAGTAAATAGTAAATCTCTCTTTACTTTCTCTGTACCTTCTTGTTTTCTTGGGTAAACCCTTATCAAGCTGCCGCCCCCCCCCCCCCCCCCCCCCCCCGGCCCCCCTTTTTTTTTTTTTTTTTTCTAAACTGAATGGGCCTAGCCTTTTTAGTCTCCCCTCATATGGAAGCCACTCCACACTGCTAAGCATCCTCATTGCCCTTCTCTGGACCTTCTCTAGTTCTTCTATACCCTTTTTGAGGTGTGAGGACCAGAACTAGACACAGTATTCAAGATGGAAGGGGGATGCACCTATAAAGGGACATAATGATACTTTCCATTTTGTGTGCAATTCCCTCACATTTTGATAGCTGCTGAGCACTGAGCTGATGTCTTTTAGTGGACTGTCCACAGTGACTCTGAGATCTTTCCTGTGTGGTAAAAATGTGGAGCCCATTATAATGTAGGTATAGTTTGGGTTGTTTTTGCATCACTTGTCTACATTGAATTTCATCTGCCATTTAGTTGCATATTTGCACAGTCATGCCAGATCATTCTGTAGTTCTTCACAGTCTGCCATGGCCTTTATGACTCTTGCATAATTTCGTGTCATTGGCAAATTTGACCACCTTGCTACTCACCCCTTTTTCCAGATCATTTATAAATATGTTGAACAGCACTGGTCCCAATGCAGATCTCTAGGGTGCCCTGCTGTTTACTTCTTTCCAGTCTGAAAACTGACCAGTTATAGTCACTCTTTGCTTCAGATCTTGGAGCCAGTTTCTGATCCACAGGTGGACAGTCCCTGTAATTCCATGACTACCTAACTTTAATTAAGAGTCTGTAATGGGAGGGACCTTGTCAAAGGCTTTTTGGAAGTGTCAACTGGATCAACCTGATTGACACCCTCACAGAACTTGTGTATGTTTGTGAGGCACGATTTCCTTCTGAAAAAGCTGTGTTTTGTCCCCAGAACTTCACGTTCATCCATGTGTTGAACGATTTTTATTATTGCTTATACCAGTTTTCCAGGAACAGAAGTTAGGGTCACTGGTCTGTAGTTCCCTGCAAAGCCCTTTTTTAAATATGGGAGTCACATTGGCAACCCTCCAGTCCTCTGGAACTGAGGCTGGTTTTAGTGATGGATTGCATACTACAGTTAGAAGTTCAGCAATTTCTGATCTGATTTCTTTCACGACCCTGGGAAAAAGCCATCAGGTTCTGGTGATTTGTTACTGTTTTAGCTTATCAGTTTCCTTTATGACCTCATCTCTTGAAACTTCAAATTGGGTCAGCTCCACTGACTTGTTCCTAGAGAGGTATGGATCTAGTGACGAAGTTTCCCTAACATCTTCCACAATGAAGAGAATGAATGAATGCATTTAGTTTCTCGCAATAAACCTGTCATCTTTTAGTGCCCATTTTACACCCTGATCATCCAAAGGCTCAACTGACTCCCTGGTAGGCCTTGGCTTCTAATGTAGATCTAGTCCTCTTAGCTTGTCTTATTTCAGTTTTTCATTTGCCTTCCCAGTGTTTATGCTATTTTCCTCATTAGGAGTTGACTTCCACTTTTTTAAATAAGCCCCTTTTTTGCTTATTGCCTCTGCAACTCTACCATTAAACCATGCTGGCTTGCTTTGGGTCCACTTTCCATTTTTCTTGATTTGCAGTATGCATTTGCTTTGTGCCACCAATATGGTGTTCCTAAGCAGTTCCCATGCTGCCTGCAAATTCCTCCTCTTTCATCCTCTGTCTAACTAGAAGTCCCTTTTAACCTTTAACTAGCTTCCTCATTTTGGTGGTCTTTCTTTCTTGTCTCCCCTCCTACATGGAGGTCAAACCCAGTTGCATTATGGTTATTATTGCTGAGTGGCTCAGTAGCATTTCCCCTTCGCACCAAATCCTGTGCACTACTTAAGATTAGGTCAAGAATGACCTTTCCTTTTATAGGTTCCAGGACTAACTGCTCCAGGAAGCAGTCTTATCGCATCAAGAAATTTGGTCTTTGCTTCCCGGTCTGATGTTAGATTGACCCAGTCTACTTGTGGATTGTTGAAGTTCTCCATTAGCAGTGCATTTTCTGGTGTTGAAGCCTTTCTCAACTCCCTAAGCATTTCTAGCTCACTGCTGCCATCCTCATCTGTGGGTCAATAGTATATCCTGAGATGATTTTTTTTTTCTGTTGAAACCCAGAATTTCTAACCACAGAGATTCTACAGTACCTCTCTTATCATTTGCAAAATCTAACCTATTTGATTCAATGCAGTCTTTGTTGTAAAGTGCCACTCCCCAACCACAATCTACTCGATCATTCCTTTATAATTTGTATCCTGGTGTTACAGCATCCCATTGTTTGTTTGTTTTTTTCCCCCTCATTCCACCATGTTTCAGAGATACCTATTGCATCAATCTTGTTATTTACTGCTAAGCATTCAAGTTCCCCCACCTTTCATACTTCTAACATTAGTATAAAAACATGTATACTACTAGTTGCCTGGTTGGTTACTTCTGTGTGACCTTTTACTCATTAAAGGTATTTGCTTATCTTCATCTTACCCGGTTTCTTATCCCTATTTTTATGGTTTTACTGCTATAGGGTATATCAGTCCAAACTGTGTTGTTCCACATCTATGGGCTTTCTGGTTTTAGTTTAAAAGCTATTCTGCCCCCTTTTTAATGTTATGTGCCAGCAGCTTAGGACCATTTTGGCTCAGGTAGGGACCATCCCTTCTGTTCCAAAAGGTCCTGATTCCTAATAAACCTAAACCCTTTCTCCCTACACCGTGTCAGCCATGAATTGACGCTGGAGCTCTGCCTGGCCCTGCATGTGGCACTGGAAGTAGTGCAGAGAATACTACCATAGAGGTTCTTTGTAACACTCAAAGCAATGAATTGGCTGGTTCTGTAGAATTTTGTTCTGATAGTGCCAATAAGTTTTAGTGTGCTCTGAGGAAGGTTTAAGGAGGAAGCATTTTACTTGATATGAAATAAATTTGCAGTAATTTTTTTTTTACAGACTTGAGAAAAGACCAGATGAGTACAGAAGTTAATTACAGACCTCATAATAATTTCCCATCAGAATCACAGGTACACAGTCCTCCAATGAGAAGGTAATTCATTTTAACATCAATTTATTCTGAAACTTTCCTGTATGAAATGACCATATCATGCCTTGTCTGCTACACTGTAGTTAATATATATTCACAAGATGTCAGAAACAAGTATAACACCTAGTGCGTCAAAATGAGGCTGAAAAAGCTTGCTTTTTCAAAAGCTGTGGAAAACAAATTCAGGTTTTGACGCTTGATCAACAGCGAATCAAATGTTTGAGCATTTTATCTGGCATGTAGGTCAGAGATTTGGATTTTATCTAATGTGTACATTATCCTATAATAGATTATGATAATATCACCATAGAGTTGAATTAGTTTTTGAAAATTGTTCTTGAAAATGGATGGAGGTTGTTTATTATCTGAGACCTCTCTTTTGAAAATGCTATGCACCTGAACTCCAGCTGGAGTCCCTAGGAGCTCTGGGTGCCCAGCACCTCTGAAAATCAGGACCCTAAGTGTAAGTGGATTCCCCTCCTCTCCCAATTTTTGACATTTGTTGGTGTGTCCAAACTCTGTGTGTGATATAGCCAGGAACAGGACCTAGAATTTATTCCATCCTGTGCATTTTTGTTGGAAGTAAGTCTAAATTTTTTTTAAAGTTTTGCTAATACTTCAGATTTGTCTGGAAAAAAATGCAGTAATTTTATGAATTTCTTGAACAAATATTTATTAAGTAGATTCCCTCATTCAGTCAGATCAAGGGTAACAAATATTTAAATAGTATATGCAGGAATTCTGTAAAGGAAATATATTCCTGGCACTAGCTGTGTACATATATTTGTTTTGTGTGTATGAATATGTAAAGTGTGTGTCCTTTTTTTAATTTTATTTTTTTAATGATTTTATGTACACCTATGCATTTTTATATTTTAGGATTGAGATACCTGAGAGTAATTGGAAATTTCTTCCTTCATCGACTCTACAGCCAACTCATAAGGACAATGTTAAGCGAGAGACTAGAATCAATAAGCTATATGAACAAAGTTCTTCAGAGTGGCTTAATTCAGATAAACTTGAGAAGACAGCCATGCAAGTGTGTTTTGCTGACGGCTTACCCCATTCTTGTAATACTGAAAATGAACCTCTCTGTGGAAAGAGGCTGAATAGCAGTGAATTTCTCTTACCTTCTCAGCTGCAGGCTCCTAGTACTAGAAGTGCTACATCAAAGGCAGGGCTGTCATCTTTTGCACCCCAGAGCACATTGGAGCAATGCAATGTGATGCCATTTTCATCTGGTGTACGTACAGTTCAGTCATTTGGTAGGACTGATCATCTTTGGGTCCCAGAAGCTGTTTACCAAAATCTTCCACCTCCTTTACCTCCAAAGAAATATGCTCGGAACTTTTTGTCAGGAACAGAAAGTAATGAACCTCCATGTGATGTAAAGTCAACAGGATTCATGCTTGTTAATCCTTCAGATTTTCAGAGGCAAAGTACAGGTACAGCTTCAACTGCACCAGAAGCAGGTGTATGTACAAATGAAGACAGACTTAAAGAAGCATTTCAAGGAAAGGAGCCTTCTGTTCACAAACCAGATTTTTCAGCTGGCCCATCAGTTAATGATTTTCAGACTCTGTCTGCTAATCTTTTAAGTAAAGGATCATGCCACACAGGACCAAGTGCTAATTCTCCAGATGCAAATGATAGTGTATCTCTAACTACATATTTTTCAGTAGATAGCTGTATGACTGATACATACAGGATGAAATATCACCAGAGACCCAAACTGTATTTCGCAGATCCTGGTAGTTTCCACAAAGAATTGGGCACTGCTTACCACAGTACTGTTGATTCCAGTCATCCTGCATCCGAACAGAGATACAGACCGCATATGGAAAGTATACACTGCAATAGGTAGAGAAAGTAAATCATGGATTTTATCCATACATTTCATGTGGGCAAAAAGCTTGGACTCCTCAGTGTGTGCTAACAGGTACTATATTTCATTTAGAAGTTATGGCTGTTAACATGATTATGCAAATATGAACGAGCTGGAGAAAAGACATGCTAAGGTTTGGTCTTTTGATCTTGGATTTGTCATTTTTTGCCTTAATGTTTACCTCTGTCTTGCTGATATATATTGAGAAAGTGAGTGTCTGTTACACTTTGATATTTTAATCCATAACTGGCCCCTTTCTAAATTTTGTACAGTTAATTGCATTTGGCACTAACCAGGTGTTACAAATTTTTCCTGGAAGATTTAATATACTTATTGCTTGGTGCCCGCAGACCAAGGGAAAAGTGGTTTTGGGTTTGTTTGTTTTTTTTAAATTAAGCTGTAATTCCTTAGACTGTTCAGAGGGATACACTAACTACAGGACCATGTATAACACAGTGTGCATATATACATAACCAAAATAGTATTTGTTTATGGAAGCGTTTTTTGTAGTGGATAACAATGGGAGTTAACATTTATTTTTCTTCTGACTTCTGTGAGAGTCTAATTCCATTAACCTTTAAGTGTCTTTTAATACAAGTTTACCCAGATAATTTCTCCTTACTTTTTGGAAATGCCTTAAAAATGAGAAGACTTAACACATTTCTCCAGTCTATAAGAACTGTAGATAAAAACTCTACATCTTAATATTTGTATACAATTTTTTTAACCTAATAATGGTTTGCACTTCTAACCCCTAATCAGGAAGAGCAGACCAGCTGCAGATACTTCCTCAGCCTGATTAAGGGTGTTTGTACCCAAAAGCTTGCAAAGAAGAATTTTTCCAACTATTTTAATTGATCTAATAAAAAAATATCAGATTTGCCCAAAGAACCTTGCCAACCTTTAGTTGTGGTTCCACAAGCAATGATATAATATTTATTAGAATTCAGCTACAAATTTCCTAGTGTATGGCAAAATGATGTGATGCATAAACTACTAAAAGCAGGAGGCTTTATTTTCATTGCAACTGAGGCAGATTCCATAACAGTCATGATCTTACTGTTAAGACTGATTCTATGACTATACAAAATTAACTGCACTATGCACTGAACTCTCTGCATCTACTTCTACCTTCCCTCTTGAAAAGTTACCGCTAGAATTTAGCAAAATTGAGTCATCTGATTTACTGCGACAGTTTTTTTCCAACTAGCAGTCATTAACTCCCAAGCACTTTTTAGTTATTTCATTAATTGAGTAAATCTACAGTTGCCTTAAAAGGGTTTTATTTGACTCTTGACCATTTAGACCTGCTCAGAACCCAGCTTCGCTTAAGTCTGTTATTGCTTCAAATCATTTCTTGTTCATGAAATTACTGTAACTTGTCATGATCAGCAACATTTTATGATTCTTAAACGAGTACTTGGGAGCTCATAGTCCTCCCAAACTTAAAGTATTTATTTTGATCTTAAACTAAAATTTTGCTGATGGCACTTGTGTTAATGCCTTTAGTTCCAAAACTGAACATTACAAAGTGCATTGGTTTAAAAACCTGCTCTATGACTTAAGACTATAGTCAGAAAAGCTTTTTTGTTTAATGTGAATTACAGTGCTTTAACCAAATGCTGACAGTTGTTTTAGTGCACTTATCCAAGGTCTACGCTTAAAACGGAAGTTTTGGTGTCTTAACTTTAATTCTTTAACCTAAGACTTGTAACTTTTAGTATAACTGGAATATGACATGCAGCAGACCAAATATCTCTAACCAGTCCATTTAGACCCATCCTCCTGCTCAAAACCCACAGTAGTACTTGCAAGATTGAATACAATATGGATTCCAGAATGAATACATTCTGCATGCAGAGGCATAAATGGTAGTGAAATCTGAAAAATCCTTATTTTTATATAGGATGTGTGAAGACTGGAAAATTCCTAGAACTTAAACTTTTTTATTATTTTGTAAGAAATGTATACAACTTATGTTTTATAACCCATCCACACAAACATGTACATAGCCAATTAATTGTTTTTTTTAAATATATTTGTAAAACTCTAATAGTGCTAGAACTTGTAAATAATGTACAATTTGTAAAGCTTTTCAGAAAAAATGTATGTGAAATTTCAGTATTTTTATGTATAAACAGCACAGCAACAAATGTGAATGGTGATACAGTATAATACTACCTTTTTAAGTGTCCACAGCAAACCTTTTTACGTCTGCACAAAAAAGCAATATAAATGCCTGTTAATGATGCCAATGAATTTGGTTTCCAGAATGCTAGTGAGCAAAACTGGTAAACTTTGCTTATTTCAGGGTAGCTGCTTAGATTTGTCCTAAGTTCTGAAATGCAACAATCCTCACTGGAAGTGATTTAGGTGGACTTGAGTCTTTCCCCTCTTTGCTTGAAATGGCAGTCTTTCCAAAACAAACTTATTATATAAGGCCCATGTATAGTTATTACAGTGCACATGACAGTTAACTAAAACACTTTCAGTTTTTATATTAGACTCTGCACTCCATGCACATATTTAATATTTGCTGACTGTATGACCTGAGATGTTGATTTGACTTACCCAGGGTGCCTATTTATTTTTATAAATGTCCCCTTCTCATTATAGATTTGTATGAAACGGACACATTTTGTAATGGTAAACACATTTAACAAGTCTTGTAACTTAATATATTTTTCAGTCTTTAGAATTATCTTGCAAAGTTGCATTTTTCTGCTTGTTCAAACTATTAGATAAAAACATTAAACCAATTTTGTGGCTAACTTTTTTTCTTTTTGTGCTTTATTTTACACATGTGGTTTAGACTCTAGAGCAAGACCAACAGTTGACTATTTATAAAACTACTTATGGAATGTTCCCACATTTTAACTATTTAGAAATTAGATTTCTAACTGAACAGTGAAACTCGCCTTTACCAAATCATATTTGCCAGATATGCTTTGTAAATAATGCTCTTTTCCTCAGATCTGGCATCCTTGTATCTGAACTATTCTTATTATATAAGCAAATAAACCTCACTTTTTGTAGAATCCTGCAAATATTCATGAGATACGAATCATTGTTCTATGCAGTCCTTGCTCTTCATACTGACCATCTCCTATCCTTAGAACACAAAATACCTAAATCAGGTTTTTGCTAACTTAAAAAAAATTGTGACAACTGAGAAGAAGGTGGAGGGGGGAAGAACTTGAAAAGAGTACAAGATAGAGGTTAAGCCATTTCTATTAATGGGTGCAGAAACCCTCAGTTTTGCAACATTAATTTCTCCCTGAAACAAAAATGTCTATTGTAAGTATAATTAATATGAAACTTGCATGAATGGAAACTCCCTCCTGCTACAGTTTAAACTCTTGCATACTTCTCCATGTACACTCATTCTGGTGTTCATAGAATAACAGCAATAGAAATGATTGTAATAGCAGAGGAGGAAGGAGGAAAAAGCAAAGCTGAATCACAGGTGAGAAAAGGATTAGTCACTATTCAGTATTTTCAAGCAGTATAACCAAGTCAGCTGCTATGTTGCTTGACTTGATTGTTTTAAATGCTCCTTTCTTTTTTTTCCCTTCCAAATGCTCTTGGAACTGATTTAAGAACAGGAACTGTGAATCACTGTTCCCACCTACTTCAATTAGCTCAGGGGTGTTGCTCATTTGGAAAGGATTATTTCAACTTCTAGCCTTACATTTAACTTTCTTTGTTCTTGAACTTTGATTAGTCCTGTGAATTCTGCACATGCTCCACCTGTTCTTTTGTGTAAGTCCTCCAGGCCATAAGCAAAACTTCCAGTTCATCACTACATTTGTACCTGTGCTACCTTGCCCCTCAATGGTTTTGCTAATTACCCAAAACCGTATACAAAAAGCAGGAGCAGCATTTATTCAATAAAGAAGATTTGGAGGTCAAAGAAATAATTTTTGTTCCAAGACTATGTAACAGCAATGTAAAATTCATATTTTGTCAGTAAATTCTGGAAGATGACAAAAAGTCTTGGGAAGGTGGTGAAGCTGCTTTTATCTATAAATGCTACAAAAGAATTCTTCAAAACTGGTATCACAAAGATAGAAATGGAATGAGTAACAAAATTCCTAGAGGCAGTATTTTAGAAATCAACTACAGGAAGGAAAAGAGAGAGACCCTGAAAAGATGTGGAAAAAGGCAATAAGGAAAGAAAAGAAGGAATTTAGAATAGTATGGTCAATAATAGAAGAGCAGCTAATGGGCAGAAATAAACTGATGTAGGCTCTATATGGAATTTGACATGAAGAATGCCAAACAAGTAAATGAACTTTTAGTTGGGATATAAACAGTTGGTCCTCAAGCCACAGTAAGCTTTGTCTCGACTTAAGTTTGTAGTAGAAATAAGACATGAAAATTAGCATTCAACTCGTGTGCAGTTCTGTATCACTTAACGGTAAAAATCTTACCTAAATCACTCCAACTGTAAGAACATATTGAAACATCTAACCAATTAGATTTTAGAGCTGATGTTACAACACTGTGAACATTGAATATAACAGTTAATCTGCAGGTTGACCAGACTATAGTTTACACTCCTCAAAGCTGGACAGTGTGTCAATATGCATGAGGAACTAAACAGTTTTTAAAGGAAAACTTGAAAGGCTCCTTCCATTATCCCTGAACCCTGTCTTTGGCTCTTAAATTACTCTTGCAACAGCCAGTGCTCTCCATTTGTCAACTTGTAAACACCTTACATAAACTATTAACTAATTTAAAAAATGAATTTGTTTTAGCATTACATTTTAAAAGCATCTGGAGTCCCTTTCTGGAGCTTGGCTTAAGCATGATGATACTGAGGCACTTTGTAAATGTCATTCAAAAGGCCAACCTAGGTGCCTGAATTTGAGAATACATCGATCCATATACTACTGTATCGGGGGCAGGCAACTATTTTGGGCAGAGGGCTGCTTACTGAAGTTTTGGCAAGCCATCAAGGGCTGCATGGCAGGCAACCAGGGGCAGATAAATATTAATTTTCTAAATTTTTTAGAGGCCCTGTGGGCTGGATAGAATGGCCTGGTGGGCTACATCTGGCCTGCAGGCTACATTTTGCCCACCCCTGTGCTATATGCTCCCAACTGTGAAGGGTAACTACCTTAAGTACAGCTACCAACCATAAAGGTGTATACCCTGTATAATTCAGTTAACACCAGTGAAAAGGAAGATTACACTAGCATGTCATCTGCCTCTACCTGAGGTTCCTTACAGTCAAATAGGGACCAGTGTTCAGCATATTAACCAGGGTGAGGGTGATGCTTGACATCCCAGACTTGGATATCTGTTTACCTTTATTCCTGCATCTTGCTTGGGAATATTTGAATAATATGCAGGAATGGTCCCTGAAGCAGGGAGTGGTGATGTTTCTGCAAATTAAGTTAAGGTTAATGAAGTCCTCTCCCAGTGCATCCTGTCCTTTGGAAAGGGGTTTTCATGTCAACCTGCTTGTGCCTTTTAAAATAGGATTATCCTTATCTGTATTTTCCAGGTGTGACTAGAATTGGTATCTCTTAGAAAGAAAAGCAGTCCTCATTCTAGGTAGTTTTAAGAAAAGAGTAAGTAAGCAGTATGCATTCATGCACAGCTGGTTTTACCTTTAAGAGGTACAGTAGAAGCCAGGCAGCTTTGTTCTACAGTACTTTCCAACTCTTATACAGACTACATTAGTCAGCCATTCTGAACTGCATTGTTGTCTTTAGTGGACTTTTATTTAGCAGTTAAGTCACTTTATTTTATACAAATGAAAAATAAATGTTGACCATATAAGCCATCTTCCAGGCATAGTAACTGGAAAGCCACCTTCAAAGTGATAAATTAGTTTTACTTTAGCTTAAGGCACAATTTACAGCAGTTTAGATGTTAACAGGTTATAGCTTAACCAAATCACAACATCCCACTTCCTCCCATCCATTCACTGTAGTCCCGCAGTAAACACATCTCCAATAAGCCGGGGCTGAACAGAGTCAGGTTGCCAGCTGTAGTTCTGCTACTGCATGCATGGTCTTCCTACAGCAATGTTTGATTTCAGAAGTGTTGTCATCCTGGACAGACATAGTCACTACAGGAAATGGAAAAATGGTTATCAGATTACTCTTGCAGTGTTAAGGGATGGGTAAATATGACATTGTTTTAAAGTACAAAAAATGTTTAGGTTGTAAGAGAGCCAAGGTTTCTGTTTAATACTAATACCAAAAAATATATTTAAAAAATTCTCGTTATTAGCGTGTCTTACACAAATGAAATATTTTCAGCGACAGCATTTTGGCAATGTGACATGTCTATTTCTTTTTTACACAACTGTCTCTTCTCATGTCTGCTTGGACATTTGTTTGGGGGTTTGCTTATAATACGGCTGACTTAAACCTCTGGATAGTTCCGATACTCATGAAGCCTAACAGTAAATGGGAACCATCTGGATGAGCTTGTCAAAACTTAATCACTTGAGTATTCTTAATAAACTAATATCCATTATCTACTCAGTTTTGCCACAGGATCTTCTGGACCTGCTTCAGGGTTACTTAACTAGTAGTAGTTCCTTTGAGACTATTCCAGTAATGGCAGTTGAGACAGCAGAGGAGAGTGATGGTGGCATTCACCTCCTGGGTTCCAGAGCCACACCAACCAAGTGGCTCTGACAGCTGCACCAAGCCCCACAGGCTGCAATTTAACCACTGCCAAGGCAATGTGGTAACTTAGCCAAACACTGTATCTCACAGGCAGGATCTGGCAAGCTTTCTTAAGATAAACTTACATACACTAAGAATTCTGGAGAAAATGTCCAGTATTGATCTAGCCATAGATAAGCTAAGCTCATGACTACTTCAAAAGACATTTGTATCAGATCTGTATTCTGAGATTCTTACCAGCAATAGGCAGACTGGAAACTGCAAGTTTTTTGCGGGGGTAAGAATGAAGGCCAGCGGTGCTGGCAGTGGGGGTACAGCTCTATTACATGGAAAAGGTTACATCAAAATAAAACGTTAAGGTTGCAAAAGGCAAGCAGTCAGAGAGTTGGGAAGCATCATCTGCCTTATGCCACCAAGATATGAACGATCTTTAGAGACATGGGCATATATGTTTTTCCAGAAGCCTCTGGGGTCTCATTCAGTGTACAGAGTGAATGACATGCACGGGTTGGCAGCTACTCAATATATTACTTTCCTCTTGCTATTGAATGTGAAGCTTTTTTCTGCTCTGGCAACAGCACTATTTCCTCATCAGTTTTAATGTCACTGATTACCACAGAATCCAACTATTTCAAAACAAAACAATTTTCACAGCATCCCAATGAAATGGGGTAAAGGCAGTTGAATGGTTTGGATTGAATGGTGTAGTCCAATCTGTATACTTCACAGGGTTAGGTTTTTAACCCCTTGGAAACATGATGGCATGTGAACTACCCAGGGGCATATGTAGAGACAGCAGACCTCAGCAGTCTCCTGCAGTTGAGATCAGATAGTCAAAGTGGTACCCATTGAAATAAAAGCCATAGGCAAGAAGCTTATTTTTAATTTAGCAACCTTCTGTTTGTTAACTAAGTGGGTTGCAAACCACCCTGTAGGAAAACTTAAGGTTTGCTGTAATCTATCACTGCTTTTGTCCAAGAGCTCCAAGATGATGCTGGGCAGGTTATTTAGAGAGTTTTTGCAGAGTTGGTCACAAATTGTGTTCTTCATTTTCTGCATATCTCAAGTTCAATTTGCTGAGCACTCCCTTTGAATTCAGTTGTAGCTACGGGTCATATTGG